TCCTTGAAACGTGAATCCTGGAAGAACATGAGAACTGCATAGATTTCAATAAGCTGATCATTACCCCAATTCCAGATGCCAGAGACAGCTGTCAATCGATATGGGTATTTAGAGTATCATGACATATTGATAGACGAGAGGACAAACCTGTTGCGGCATTGTTGACGGTCAGATTACGAACCGTAAATTGTTGGTTACCAACTTGAATACCGTACTTTCCTGGCGGAATGTTACAAAAAGAATAACAAAAGCAATCACATGGATTTACCTCCGTTGAATATCATGTCTGTCATGCAAATTTCTTATTTTTGTATCAAAACAGATTCAAAATGCTCACCTCCCATGAAACCGCCACTGATAGTGATAGGTTGAGAATTAAGATCTGAGATAAGAAAGCGAGTCTCTCACCTCCCATTCTCCATGAACATACCTTGGTGGTTGTTATTAGAAGCGGTGGACATCTCGACCACGATATTGATGAGCGAAGTGCCCTGCGAAACCTGCCAGTGCAAACCAATTGCAGAAGTTGATGCAGGGATTTGCCTGAGGTCGATTATCAAGTTGCGAACGGAACGATAACTAGACGTTCATGAGCTATGCTACACAGTTCGCAGAAAAAATAGCGCACAAGTTGTTCTGATTAGTGAACCATTGAGCACCCCAACCATCGGGAATGTAAGGATCAGCATCTGGGTAAAATTCCCGTAAGGTGGCGTCTACATTGAGAATGACGGATAATGTACCGATCACTGCAAATCCTTTGAAAGACGAGTTGGCAAGGAGGGTTGGAGGTTTCTTTGCATCCCCAATAATCTGTGTGTAATAGTACGTGTCAATCGCCGAGGAGACGAGGTAAGTCCTGCCCGATGGTCAGCAGGCAATCTCGTGACATGAGCAAACAGACCTACCCCGTAGGGAAATACACGATGGCAGGAGTAACACTGAATGCCACAATCGGTTAATGTATTCGCAGAGAATCAGTGACGCTCTGCACTGACGTGGAAGAATCACAAGATCCGCCGCCGCAACGTCCACCGGAGGACATGGCCGAACTGGGATATGAGTAAGTTAATGTTTTGGGTAAAGAAAAATAACATGCTTGATAGCAGCAGTATCGTCGGTGATACCATCGCCCTTGGCTCCAAAATCCTTGACATTCCTGAAAACCTGGTAAGAACTGGGGTCCGAGTTGAAAGCCGAAGTTCCTTGATGCTTGATAGTCTGAAGCCAATACGGATCACTTGGAGCCGCTGTTCCACTACCCAACGGTGTTGAGCAGGATCTGCCCAACCCTGAGACAAGAGTAAATAACGCTAACAGTGAACTCAACAGGAGAGACTTTGAATAATGCGACATTGCTTCCTTCGGGTGATAAAATCGAAGGTAATGAGGAAAGTGGACACAACACAACACCCTTTTATATTGCTGAGGGCAATGAAGTGGACGATTAGCGGAATTGGGCAACCTCTTGATTAGCAGTACCTCAAGAGCCGACAGGAGAGGTATGAAGTCAAGAACAACTCATGACATACAATTCCGAACGGCGCGCTTTCATTTTGGGGAATCCGCAGTATGACAGCAAGGCTTGGAGCAGGTGTACCACGAGGTGCCACGGAACTACAATTCGTCCATGTAAGTGATTCCTACTAACACATGGAATATGCATTTTAGTACGTTCAGAATGGGCTCACCTAGCGCAACCTAGCTCATCATCATTACCACGGGAGACGTTGAACGATTTAGCACACGGTAACCAGCAGATTGCTAGAGTCCTAGACTTGCATTCTTACTTCAAGTACAACATCAGCTCGTCCGGATAATTCGGCTATCAAATCCGTGGTGCAACCGGGTATAGCGTAGTTGAAACCTTTCGGGCCATCCACAAGTAAGTCGTGCACCTGATAACAGAGAAAAGGGCAAGAGTGTGCTTCACTCGTTGCTAAAGCTGCTCGACGTGCAAGACCAAAAAGGTAATGTCGAGGTTACTTTTTAAAACTCCGCGGTCCCGCAACAGGAAAAATCTTTCCTAGTAGAAACCACAATTCGTTCCCTGGACCCTGGTGGGCCTGGATAGTCATTCACTCTGAAGAGGCATGGTGCTCATCATTCCGCGAGTGCCCAAGGCTGCCCGCTCTTGCATTTGATGCTCATTCATTTGCCAGATGAACATGATACCTTGAGAAAGTCGATGCAACTAAGACAGCGTCTTTTGATGAGTGAGTGCCCAGAACTCTTACCACCATGATGATTCCGGATTTAGTCAGGGCCTCCTGGCAATTGACCGAACTAGTCAGCTCATCTGTGCCATGTGGGAATAGTAATATATGAGTAATCTTACAGACGCTTGCCTTGCAGCATCGCGAGGTTGCCAGTGCACACGAGATTTGTCCCTGAGTCTCTCCTAACTTGTCAGACCTATTGAAGAAAGACCTTCGTTCCTTCTAATACTGCCCCCCTGAGAATTGATCTTTGCAGAGATCCAAGTGTCTTGGCTGCAGCAATAACTCTTTTCAGCCTTTCCGTTATCCGGACACCGGCCCACTCGGCTTTGGCATCGCGCATGCACTTCAAGTAGTGAGCATCTTGCAGTTGATATTGGACGAGCCACGAGCCGTCTTCTGACTGGTCTTTATTGAAATCAGGAAGCTGTCTCACAATCCCCGGGACTGCACGGGATTGGGTGGATGCCGACATATCTTCAGCAGCATTGAACGTTGAACATCAACCACCTTCTGCCAGCAGGGGGCTGCATGGAACTGGTGTAAGTGTAGTATGAGACAACACCCACTAGCACTGTGTCACTTTACAGGGTCACAGAATTGCTGTTGTATCGACTCGTTAGTTCCGACCGGAATGCAGAGTAATATCTTATAAGCAGAAAGTGCAGGCCGATCGACGAAGGTGTCCAATGGCAGGCACTTGGGGTGCAGAATGGTGTTGTCTATACCGCATCCGTTGTTTGTTGACCAGTCAAGGAGGACATTCGCCTGCTTTGATGTATTGCACTATTGATTTACCATCGCTTTCCGGACCAAGCTACTACGAACGGAATGGATCATAGTGGACGCGTCTGACAATACATAGTCTCAAAAGGTTATCATAGTGCGTGACTAGGATTGCCCCACGATTTCTTCCAAATGCCCCACATCCCACCTTGGGAAAAACATGACCGAAAACGGTTGCGGGTGTGCAACAACATTGTCTTTGAATGCCCACCTGTCTATGGGCGCATCCTTGGGTTCCAAGATTCGAAAAGCCCAGAACAAACACGCAAGAGTGATCAAGATAGAATCACTTGCGAGATACTGTCCTGGACAAACACTGATTTATCTGTTAGTCCAATATCACTGACTCGAACAGACAACTGACCGCCTGCCAAAGCCGAATGGGAAAGACTTGAGATCAGGACGAATGCGCCCGCAGGGTTCAACCCATCTCTGGGGGTCAAAGTTTTTGGGGTCAGGAAAAGCAGTTGCATCATGAGAAATAGACCTGTGATGTGCAATAGTCACCCGATAAGTCAAGGAGGACGGATGAACGATCGCACCAATGACAGCCGTAGACTGTTGCGCCAGCAGGGATCTGTAATCCCTTCTGAACGCACAAGTATTAATCCACAATTTGGGGCACGTCGAACGCCATAACCAGCTATGAATTGGTTATAAGATGCATATGTATGAAGGACAACCGCCTCATGTTGTATATATGGCTGCCCTGGTGTGAGGCGCCAAGTTACCGTCACATAGTTATATCATGTAGTGTTGCAGGCAAAGATATTTTGAGGGTAGTTCTGCTGGCAGAACTGGCAGAACCATCGTTTCAAATGGCAGAATCGCATGTCTTTCACTCCAACTTCGACTGTTGCAATGAGATGGAACGGATCGAGTGCGAAGGCGTCGTGAGGTTGAGCGGTAGCTGCTAGTAGCTCGGGCCGGACGCTGAAGGATCAAGTCGCCGCCGGGTGGGCGGGCACAAACGAACAGCGATTTCGAGTAATGCCATGTGTAGAGAACGATCAAGAAGTGCCATAGATGCGTAAAATCATAACTACTGTGTGAAAAGCGGTGGGCGGAAGGGGTCAAAGAATGGGTGTAAAGAGGTACTACGCTGACGAGAAGAATAAGTGGTAATTGCTTTGAGAATTCCTTACCACATTGGTCTGCGTCTGCAGCCGCGGTCGCATGTCCGATATGTTATAACTCTGAGCAAAAGGATCTGTTCTGAGATCGAGAACTGTGAGATAGTGAGACCTTGGGCCTTGGGAGCTATTGAAATTAGTCGCGTAAGCTAGTCACAAAGGAAATTATTTGCGATTCACTGTCCAATTGGAGGTAAGGATGAAAAGAACACGTGAGACGTGGAATGTAGTGGTTCTCGAAATTGTTGAGTAGCTAGACTTCGACGGGTCGACGACATGTAGAGCTGTTGTTCGTAGTCGGGCATTGCTCACCATTCCCTTCTCGACCGGGAGGTCGCATTGAATAGCGCATGCGCAATTTATTTTGAAATCCAGTTGATTCCGGGCGGAGTAAGCATTGCTGAGTACTCCGGTGTTTGCTCAGTCTGCGCGTCAATGGGTGCGTGGTCTGCTTCTTTTAAGATGTTCGAGCTTGAATAGCAACTTGCTTTTAGCATTCATTCAGCGTATCTATACTCAGCGTAGTCACCAGGTAGAGTGTCTGGAATTTTATCTTTGAATTCGTCGACAGATAGGTTTCGTGACGAGAGGAGAGCACGTCCGAACACCCGTTTAAAAATTATAACACTATCGGCGCAGTAAGCTCACCGTAATCATCAAACTTCTTTCTTGCAAGCAAAAAAACCGAGTCTTTCGCTGATTGGCCAAATGACAGGGCAAGTCAAAACAACACCAGACACCAGTTAGCATCTCCAGGAACGAGCCAAATACCTAAACCATCGATAGAACAACCCGTAGTAGCGCCGCCGTGGGATGTAGAACATACAACGCAATAAATAGGTCTCATGAACAAGGAATGTACTTACCACCGCCTTCGTCGATATGAATGCGCTTCTTCGACTTCTCGCCGGTTAAATACGTCCCCATACCCTTCATCCTGGCCACCATGCACAGTACTCGGCGTCTCGCTGCCTCTCATTTCACGCTGCTTGCGCCGAATCAATGCCAGCGCGCGTTCGCGTTCTGACGATTCACGTGTAAGGCGCATGGTCGTTGCATCCGAGGGTGGGGGAGGCGGTTTCATCTTATCATTTGAATCAGGTGGGGTGCGATATTTGGAACGATTCCACGACGGCCGAGGGACAGGGGAAGAATTATTCGACGAAGAGCTCGATGCAAGCTGATGCGTGATAGCTGTGAGAGGGTCATTCATAGTTTTTGAAGCAAGATCCCGCAATCTGAGATATTAAAGGGAAGTCATCTATGTAAGGCTGGAACAGTATAAACTGCGTACCTTAAGCGTTTGCTCTTATCATCCTCCTGATGTTCCTTTCCCTTATCGCGCTCGCTGTACCATGGGTTGAGGTCCTTAGCACTGGGAGCCAGTGGCACGCCCTTCTCAGTCTCCAGCTGTGCGGTTTTCTTCGTTGCTCGTATTGAAGTAATCGTTTCTTGCTAGCACCGTATCAGTATATGCGCACAAACCGTCAGGGACAAATCAACCTGTTCTAAATCCTCGAATAGATTGATATGACCTTGATTCGAATCCCTGGCAATGATGGAGGCCTTAGCATCCTCTATAACCTTCATATCGTCCTCTTTCTTCTTTCCCTTTCCTTTCCCAAGTCCTGCACGCTCTCGGAGGAGGTCCAACCGAGCCTCTGCATCAGCCAGCACCACCCTTCCCTCGGCCTCGGCCTCCTTTTGCGCAGCTTCCTCTTCATCTCTCCGTACGCGTTCGATGTTATCCCGGCGGTAGGGGTGGTATGATTTATGATGAGCGATGTTCAGTTTGCCCATGTCGAATGCGGATAATACAGTGTTTTGCGTATAGGTTTGAAGCTGTTTGAAGCCGCCGCTACAGATACAGATACAAGATCCTAGATAGATTCCCACGCACAAAGGCGTGTACACATTAATGTTGACTGTAGTATGGTATGTACTATGAAATTCGTATGAAATTAGTTCCTAGATATACGCCTTTACTCCCCCGGTGCGCACAGTTCCCTGATCACATTCTCATTGATCCTCTTCTGCAAACATATCTCGAACGGAGCAGCATATATGTTTGCAGTATCCGAGAAAGCAAACGTATCAATCTTCGCTGCAGGATTCTCAGAAAGGCGAAAAGCCCAGAGAATAAGAGCCGTGGTGATAAAGAGGGACCGATTCGCGACATGCTGACCGGGACAAACTCTTATATTTCAAATAGGGTATGAGAACGAGTCGAGACACGAACGATGTCACTCACCGGCGGCCAAAACCAAAAGCGAAAAACCTGAGATCATCGCGCACACGACCTGCATCGTCGATCCAACGCTGAGGATTAAACTTGTGCGGTTCTGGGAAAACCTCAGGATCATTTGCGATAGCCCTGAAACACCAGCGTCAGACGTAAAGGTCAGAGGACGAAAATGATTGCCTACTGACCAATGGTTGCCAATAACAGTCGCACCTGCCGGAATGAGGTAGTTTCTCCAAATTATGTCCTTAGTCGCACGATGCCCAAAGCCTGTAGTGCAGGGTTATCGTTCATTTATCGTGTCATTACCACTCAAATCACAAGACGTACCTCCAAGGTTAACAGGTCTCCACCTGAGACTCTCGAGCATGAACGCAGTAACCTGCGGCAGCATTTCCTGATCAGCAAACGTCGGCACTAATCAGGAGCTATCTCAGTCAGCAAATAAGTAAAGAAAAGGAATAACCTACGCCGCGTACGCCCCACGACTTTATCGAGTTCTTCTTGTACACGAGCCTGTTCATCTGCGTGAGTGGTAGCAGCCATGAGCGTAATTGTGATTGCGGACGCAGTCTATAACAGTTGTCAAGTTGAGACGCGATGAAATGTAAGAACTTACTGTATCAGAACCGGCCCCAAACATTCCTCCTGCAATGTATCCCAGTTCCTTGTCTTCGAACTGATACTGTTTCTGGTGCTCTAAAATGAACTTCGCAAATGATGGCCTCGCAATCCCCTCACGCTTCACACTGGTGAGCGAGGATATTTGTCACGACAAAAAAATCACGAACCATCTGTCTTCGCACCGCGTCCAACTGCCCGTTAAAAAGAGCCAGATCATCTTGGTGCCATGCCTTCAACTGACTCAAGTACCCTGGGACGAAACGCAGGATTGGATACGTATCCACAAGGTATGCTCCTGGCTTCATAGCTTGACCAAAACGCACAAGAGACTGATTGACGGCAACGATTTCAGGATCCGTATATGAAGTCGGAGTAATTTTTCCATAGGTGAAGGACATGACCACAGAAGCTGAATAACTAAAATGCTCGGATTACTACCTGTAGCGCGCAAGTAAGAGCAAGTGTTCGTACCGCATGGCATGACCTTGGTGGTTCTTTGGATCATTTAAGATATCCAGAACCAGATTCTTCGCATGACTGGTCTGGATGGGCTCGTAGGTCTCCGCAACCTTGGGTTGCAAGCCTGCATGCAAGACCCTGCTTTACATTTAGTCTGATCGCACCTTGTAGAAACAAGATGTGTACCTGCGCAGCCGGCGCAATCTCTCACCACTGCCCGCAAGGACCACTCTCAACCCATCAGATAATGTCTCTTGCGCTGCAATAGCACGCGGGCGGTCGGCAAGATTTGCTCCTTCTTTTTCCATGATATCCATCGCAGCCTATGACGAGGCTCACTTCGTACCTGGCTAAACGATAAATTGCTTGACGCTTACCTGATGACGTCCTATAATCACGAAAATCCTATGGCCTTGTTTGAGCGAGAACACAGGTCCGTATTGTTCTGTCCATCTCGCGAATTGAAACGGTGCACTGCGTCACGGTGAGGTGTTAGATAGAGATCATGCTGATGTCCCTTGACAAAGACTTACTATGACTTCGGCATCGTATTTCCTAATAGCCAATGTCCAGGCGGTCCAGGCGGCAAGGGCAACCACCTTGCGGCCTGATATCGTTGTTTCACAATCCAGACGCTGGCTAAGACGATAAGGCATGCAATGATAATGATAATCGCCATTGTTGAATGGTCGGGGTTCCTGATAGTCATAACACCCCACCACTTTGCAACACGTTAAGTACTCCAGAGTGACAGAGCAGTGACTTGCTGTGATGGGCGATGGGTACGGTGAGATTACAATGCATGATTGCACTGACTTGTACAAAGACAAGTTCAACACCTCCACCGATCAATCGGATGTGGTGTACTGCGGTCTTCTTATAGTATAGTAGGAACCTAATGATTACCCTGGTGATTAGTAGCGGATACGCGAATGCCAAAACATATCAACTCCATCCAAAGATTATCTTTATGTCGTTCTCTATGACCCATTGGATTGGTCGTGCCACAGGACCGTCGACTATCAAAGGTTTACAAAACACTATAATGGAGGTCGACTCGGAAGCGAAAGTGCCAAAGCGTACTAGTAGAATCTTGACCGTCTACAGTGACACATCTGAAAGTTGAAAAACCCAAAACGGACCTTTGAGTATCCTTCGAGGCTCCCACCTCGAGTTGGATTTGGTTAGTGCGCGCTTGTAGTTTTTTTTAGTCGCTTGTAGTTCGTAAAACGCTGTTTTAGTTGTTGTTTGTCAAAGAAGAGAAGGTTAGGCAAAGTTAGGAATAGGCGTAGTCAAGCGGCTACTGAAGTTTGCAACGATTTATTTTTAGAATGGTGACCCACTGTAGCTAGACTCGTGGAGGCGTGAGCACAGGCTGACTTGGGCCAACATCCAGGTGTTGCGAGGGAGCTGCGTGGGCTTGTCTCTCGGCAGAAGGAATCCTAAACCACTCTCGAAGCCCTGGTCAAATTTGGAAGTACTGCTAGGCTACGCAACTTGCAGTGGGAATTACAAGATGCATGATAATTCAATACAACTTGGATTATGGCTGTATGATTGTAGTAAAGTGAAAAGCGATGATTGTACACATGTTCCTGTGCATGATAAACGATGATCGTTGTTAGATCTGTTTCCATCTTCACGCTTCCACTTCATCGGTTGTTGCAATCCTCGACTCCCGAAGTGGAGGAGAATTTTGTTGGTTACTAATCGACATAACACAGTATACTACATAGGATAAGACGCATCGCGTGTTGCACGAACTACAAATAAAGCTATGTTCGACAAAAACCAAGGTCAAAAGCTTTTGGGGAGAGACAAGAAAGTAGCCTTTCTTATTGTGAAAGACGATGGACGCCGGCGCCAACACATATGATACGAGTACAATGAGAACTTTCAAGTTCCTAGATAAACGACTTTACTCCCCCGGTGCGCATAGTTCCCTGATCAGATTCTCGTCGATCCTCTTCGTAAGGCATATCTCAAACGGAGCAGCATGTATAGTTGCAGTGTCCGAGATTGCAAGTGTGTCAATCTTCGCTGCAGGATTCTCCGAAAGGCGGAAAGCCCACAGAATAAGAGCCGTATTGATGAAGATGGACCGATTCGCGACATGTTGACCAGGACACACACTGGTATTTTCAAGTAAGGCATAAGAAAAGGTTGAGAGATGAACAATACCACTCACCGGCGGCCAAAACCAAAAGTGAAAAACTTAAGATCACCGCGCACACGACCTGCATCGTCGATCCAACGCTGAGGATTAAACTTGTGTGGTTCTGGGAAAACCTCAGGATCATTTGCGATAGCCCTGAAGTATGAGCGTCAGACCCAAAGGTGAGAGGACGAAAATGATTGCCTACTGACCAATGGTTCCCAATCACAGTCGCACCTGCAGGAATGAGGTAGTTGTTCCAAATTATGTCCTTAGTCGCGCGATGCGCAAAGCCTGTATTGCAAGGTGGTCGATCATTATCGCGTCGCCACAACTCAAATAAGATGTACCTCCAAAACTGACAGGTCTCCACCTGAGACTCTCGAGCATGAACGCGGTAACCTGGGGCAGCATTTCCTGATCAGCAAACGTCGGCACTAATCAGGAGCTATCTCAGTCAGTAGGTTAACAAAGAAAAGATATAACCTACGCCGCGTACGCCCCACGACGTCATCGAGTTCTTCTTGTACGCGAGCCTGCGCATCCCTGTGAATGGTAGCAGCCATGATCATAAACGTGATTGCGGACGCAGTCTACAACAATTATCAACTTATGACGCGATGCAACGTAACTTGAAGAACCTACCGTATCAGAACCAGCCGCAAACATTCCTCCTGCAATATATCCCAGTTCCTTGTCTTCGAGCTGGTACTGTTTCTGGTGTTCTAAAATGAACCTCCCGAATGATGGCCTTGCAGTCCCCTCACGCTTCACAGTGACGAGTGAGGAAATTTGTCATAGCAGTAAAACCACGAACCATTTGTCTTCGCACACCGTCCAACTGCCCGTTAAAAAGAGCGAGTTCTTCTTGGTGCCATGCCTTCAGTTGACTCAGGTAGCCTGGGACGAAGCGCAGGATTGGATACGTATCCACAAGGTAGGCTCCCGGCTGGATAGCTCGACCAAAACGCGCAAGAGACCGATTGACGGCAACGATTTCAGGGTCTGTGTATGAAGTCGGAGTAGTTTTTCCATAGGTGAAAGACATGACCACCGAAGCTGAATAACTAAAATCCTCGTATTACCACCTGTACCAAGGGAGCAAGAGTAAGAGTTCGTACCGCATGGCATGACCTTGGTGGTTCTTTGGATCATTTAAGATATCCAGAACTAGATTCTTCGAATGTCTGGTCTGGATAGGCTCATAAGTCTCCGCAACCTTGGGTTGCAATCCTGCATGCAAGACCCTGCGCTTTATATTTAGTCTCACTGATCGCACCAGGTAGAGACAAGATACTTACCTGCGCAGCCGGCGCAATCTCTCACCACTGCCTTCGAGAACCATTCTCAATCCATCAGATAATGTGTCTTGGACGGCAATAGAACGTGGGCGGTCGGCAAGATTTGCTCCCTCTTTTTCCATGATATCCACTGCAGCCTATGACGAGACCCATTTCATGCCTAGCTAGCCGATGAGTTGCTTGACGCTTACCTGATGACGTCCTATAATCACGAAAATCCTATGGCCTTGTTTGAGCGAGAACACAGGTCCGTATTGTTCTGTCCATTTCGCGAATTGAAACGGTGCACTGCGTGAGGGTTAGATAGAGATAATGCTGATGTCCTTCGACAACGACTTACTATGACTTTGGCATTGCATTTCCTAAAAGCCAACGTCCAGGTGGTCCAGGGGGTAATGGCAACCGCCCTGCCGCCTGCCAATATCGTTGCTTCGCAATCCAGACGCTGGCCAACACAATAAGGGTGCATGCAATGAGAATCGCCATTGAAACTTTGAATGATTGAGGTTGCTGATAGTCAGCACACCCCACGCCTTTGCATCATGTTAAGTACTCCAGAACCGAGCGGCAACTTGCTGTAATGTGCGACGGGTACGCTGAGATTACGGTGCATGATTACACTGTCTTATGAACACAAGTTCGACACCTGCACGGATCAATCGGATATGTGAGTCATGTACTGCCGTCTTCCTTCCACGTTCACGTACGAAATGTGATAGTTGGATGACTGCCTGGTGATTAGTGGTGGACGCGTGAGTACCAAGATATTTTGACTTCATTGGATTTGTCGGTCTCGTCGTCCTCGATAACCCGTTGGATTGCACAGGACCGTCCGGTTTAAATACAACACACAGTGATCATGATAGTGGAGGCCGATTTGGAAGCGAAAGTGCCAAAGTGAGGTCACCATTCTAAAAATGAAATGTTGTGCTCCGAACTTCGGCATGCGTACTAAGAGAAGTGCATCATGTGCATGGAGCACTTGATTAGCGAAAGAATGCGAATAATCGCGACCGATGCTCACGTATGTATTATAAATGACAGTAGTACGTGTCTGTACGTGTATGGATTATTAATGTGATGCAAATGCCTAACAGCAGTCACAATGAGACGAAGCAAGACATAGTTGAGTAAGCGCAAGGGCGGGGCTGCTGATATTTGCATCGTCGAAATACATATCAAGTACATCGAGGAAACACTCGTCTGGGTCGATGAGAGCAAGACGTCGAAGCTGCGAGCATTTCTGTAGCATGCGGTAAGCCATAAAAGAGCACCATGCAATTTTTTGAAAGGATTGCTGTCTTGCCGGAAGCGGTCGGAGAAAAAAGGTGGTGGACTAAAATGTTCAAGTAGTGAACATACGTAAACCAGATGTTCGCGGAGGATCGTAGAAGTGTTCAAGGTTTGAAGGACAGGCATGTTCTGGGAGATCAGGTTGTCCGAATCGAATTCACCTTTGAAGTGCTTGTAAGAATTGAGCGAGAGATGTCACATAGCTTAAGGTGTTTCAGCGCAAGTGCCTCGGAGTGAAGGGAAAGAAATTATAGCTGATGGGACTGTCAGCCGCGATAAAGGCTACCGCGACCGGAACTATGAGAGTGGGAAGCACACAATAAAACCCGTGTCAACTTTGAGAGCAAATTTAAGTTGTCTGCTGCCTGTTCTTCGTTTTGGCCAGCTAGAAGAAGAAACCGCATGTGGGGTGGCGAAGTGATTGAATGGCAAAAGGTTACAATCAGCCACGCAACTTGGAGAGTATTGCGGTGTATCGAGAGATACTCGATGCGTGGTAACACTAGGCGAAACCCGTTGATGATTATAGTCATGCCTGTTTGAGGATATGTGAAGTCAGGTGTAACAAGGAGTCCGAGTCGGACAGATAACGAAAAGACTCCAGAACGCGGGACGAACTCCTTTGCACAAAGATTCAAGTTTCTAGAATAAACGTCTTTTATTTGCCCGGTGCGCATAGTTCCCTGACCACATTCTCATCGATCCTCTTCGCAAAACATAGCTCAAACGGAGCAGCATGTATGGTTGGTGTGTCCGAGAATGCAAGCGTGTCAATCTTCGCTGCAGGATTCTCCGAAAGGCGGAAAGCCCATAGAATGAGAGCCGTGGTGATAAAGACCGACCGATTCGCGACATGTTGACCAGGACATACTCTGAAATTTTCAAGTAAGGAATGAGAACGGTCGAGACATGAACGATGCCACTCACCGACGGCCAAAGCCAAAAGTGAAAAACTTGAGATCACTGCGCACACGACCTGCATCGTCAATCCAACGCTGAGGATTGAACCTGTGTGGTTCCGGGAAGACTTCAGGATCGTTTGCGATAGCCCTGAAACACGAGCGTCAGACCCAAAGGTCAGAGGACGAAAATGATTGCCTACTGACCAATGGTTGCCAATCACAGTCGCACCTGCAGGAATGAGGTAGTTGTTCCAAATGATGTCCTTCGTCGCACGATGCGCAAAGCCTGCAGTGACAGGTGGTCGTTCATTATCGCGTGATCACAACTCAAATAAGACGCACCTCCAAGAGTGACAGGTCTCCACCTGAAACTCTCAAGCATGAACGCAGTAACCTGTGGTAGCATTTCCTGATCATCAAATGTCGGCACTAATCAGGAGCTATCTCAGTCAGTAGACGAATAAAGAAAAGGCATAACCTACGCCGCGTACGCCCCACGATATTATCAAGTTCCTCTTGTACGCGAGCCTGCGCATCTGTATGAGTGGCAGCAGCCATCATCATCATTGTGATTGCGGATGCAGTCTACAACAGTTGTTGAGTGAAGACGCGATGCAATGTAAGAACTTACCGTATCAGAAGCGGCCCCAAATATTACTCCTGCAAGATATGCCACTTCCTCATCTCCGAGCTGGTACTGTTTCTGGTGCTCTAACATGAACCTCGCAAAGGATGGACTTGAAGTCCCCTCACGCTTCACAGTGGTGAGCGAGCACGTCCGTCATCACAGCAAAATCACGAACCATCTGCGTTCGCACTGCGTCCAACTGCCTGTCATAGAGAGCACGTTCTTCCTTGTGCCATACCTTCAGCTGACTCAGATAGCCTGGGATGAAACGCAGTATTGGATACGTATCCACAAGGTATGCTCCCGGCTTCATAGCTTGACTAAAATGCGCAAGAGTCTCATTGACGGCAACGACTTCAGGATCTGTATATGAGGTCGGAGTAAGTTTTCCATAGGTGAAGGACATGACCACCGAAGCTGAATAACTAAAATCTTCGAATTAACACATGTACTGCGCAAGAAATAGCCAGTGTTCGTACCGCATGGCATGACCTTGGTGGTTCTTTGGATCATTCAAGATATCTAGAATCAGATTCTTCGCATGCCTGGTCTGGATGGGTTCGTAGGTCTCCGCAACCTTGGATTGCAGGCCTGCATGCAAGGCCCTGCTTTACATTCAGTCTCGCTGATCGCACGTGGTAAAGACAAGATGCGTACCTGCGCACCCGGCGCAATCTCTCACCAGAGCCCTGAAGCAACACTCCCAACCCGCCGGACAACGTCTCATGCACTGCAATAGAACGCGGTCGGTCGGCAAGATTTGCTCCCTCTTTTTCCATGATATCCATTGCAGCCTACTATGACGTGATCTACTCCATGCATGGATAGACAATGAATTGTTTGATGCTGACCTGATGACGTCCTATAACCACGAAAATCCTATGGCCTTGTCTGAGCGAGAACACAGGTCCGAATTGTTCTGTCCATCTCGCGAATTGAATGGGTGCACTGCGTGAGGAGTTAGATAGAGATAATGCTGATGTCCCTTGAAAAAGACTTACTATGACTTTGGCATCGTATTTCCTAATAGCCAACGTCCAGGTGGTCCAGGGGGTAATGGCAACCACCTTGCGGCCTGATATCGTTGTTGCACTATCCAGACGCTGGCTAAGATAATGATAAGGGTGCATGCAATGATAATCGTCATTGACATGGTCCGGCTTGCTGGTAGTTACGATTCAGACACCCCGCTACTTTGCAACCTAAGTACTCCAGAACAGAGAGGTGATGACGTGCTGTGAGGTACAATGAGACTAGAGTGCATGATCACACTGACTTATCAGTACTTATACAAACACGGATTGAACACCTGCGCTGATAAATCGCACCTGTGCGAGTCACGTATTGTGGTCTTCCTATAGTATAGGAACGCGGCCTGATGACCACCCTGGTGATAAGCTAGTAGTAGACGCGCGTGTTCCAAGACATTTCGACTCCACCTGAAGATTACACAAGGTAGATCTTTATGTCGTTCTCGATGACCCATTGGATTGATCGTGGCACAGGACCGTTAGTTCACAAATGTAATGGAGGTTCGACTCGAGTTAAGTGGGTCACCATTCTAAAAATAGAAATTTGTACTTCGAACTGATAACAGGCCCATCTGCAAAACACCCCGGTTCTCACTTACTAGTGCAAGAAGCTTGATGCCTTATGAATTCCTACGGCTCAGTGATTCAGGTCTCAGAGCTTGCCAATTCCCGGAGATCGTGGTAGCAATGAGGCGAAAACATAGAGATTTTGATCCCCGACTCCCACGTTAGTGGAGGAGGGCTTTGTCGAACACAAACGAATTCCCATGCTGTTCAAAGCTGTGCACTTGAACAGAATCTTAACTTTATACTTCACCATCATGCATCATACTTTTGTCAGTAGCTGAGTCTTATTGCGTGGATCGATTTCCCCGCTTTCGGACATCCAAACCAGCTGCGCGACGGCAGTTCTTAGCTCATTCAAATTTTCAAGTCGTCTTCAAGCTTCAGCTTGGTCCTGAAAGCTTTTGAGCACGTTTGATAAGCCGATCAAATTTTACGTCGTAACGATACGAGACTTCAACAAAACCAGGCTTTTGGCAGACACAAGCGTTAGGTTTTGGCTGTTGTCGAGTTTTATTTGTGAGACACCACAAACTTCAAAGTACGTCGATATATATCCTCAACTTGAAATATGATCACACGCAACTCCCTCCCTTGCCATACAACCTCGCCTACACTATCCACAGCACTTCATTTTCACGCGAGGTTCATCTTCAAGGAGATACGCTCGATATTTGGTGAATCCCTCTTCGTATGTATCTTGACCCTGTTTATTTTACAATTCACTTGACGATCACTTTAGCACCCTGTTCCATGGTCCCTACCTCTCAACCACTCCACGAGCTCAGCAGATGTGCTTCCAATACTCTCCGCTTTTGCACCCTACTGATCGCCGTTTCCGTAGTCGCAACCGTGGTGCACTTCAATGGTCGATCGTTCCGTAAATGACCCTAGTTAAGGATTCGGGAATGTGGGTGCATGTTACTATCTCGTTCTCGAAGACACTGACTGATAGGTTGGCAGTTGGACATTTGCGCCGGACAACAAGAGGCCCACAGGCTCTCGGAGAGGTGCTCAGGCGGAGCCCAAGGGCAAACGAAAGGCTGATGGGCCCGCTGGACAGGGGCCACCTACAATTGTGAAGAAGAGCAGTGGTCAAATCTAATATGCTCAGATGCCTACCCTGAGATCCAGCAACTCATTAATAAATACCTAGTGATAAACACAGTGCAATCAGATATATCGATTTCTCTTGCGAGTCACCCCTTACTCGTCCCTGTCTTGTACTTCATCTGGCAACTGGGACGCTAGCCATCTCAATCCACCGGCCAACACAATCAAGACGACAAAAACTGCATTTCCTCCTAGAAGGTTGTGCTCCTTCGATACAGCAAAGAGCGAAGTTGCCAAGGCGGGACCAATGGCACGAGCTACCGACGCAGAGGTTTGGCCGAGGCCATTGATGGCACCAAGGACGTTGCTTGTAGGAGCAGAAGCTGTGATAACCATGAAAATGGCCCCTGTAATTAAGTGGGTTACTGGTAACGATGAGACGATTTCATTACAACACAAACCATATGCTATAGACCATGCGACTCGTATACCTGTAAGGCAAAGCAAGGCAAACGTGATTGCATGATCGACTTCTCCCCTTGCGCGTACAATCCACGACATTATCGGAAACATAGCCATGAGTGGTGCGTAGCACGACACTGAGACACAGAATAAACGCTTCGGACCAATGCAATCGACGATCCTAGCAAAGAATAATGCTTGAAAGATACCATTCGTGATCCCAAACAACGCCATCCACGAGCCAATAGTAGCAGGATCAAATCCAAGACCGTCAGGATGAGTAGGCGTCGAAAACAACAGTGGCAAAAGAACGCTGAAAGAAATGTCAAGCAAGGCAAGCAGAGTGTAGTTTGCAATCGGAATAACAACGGAAGGCGTGAGCAGCACCTATGTTTCCCACATTACCGAGTGAGTAAACTGGCCTTATGGCAATCTTAGTAACACTTAATAAAGTCTAAACTCGTTCATATGGAGCACCGCCGGTGCACACCAGCGGTGCTATAGGCTACTCTAAGCTATGTACTTATATTATTTTCATAGGGAGCACCGCCGGTGCACAACCGCCGGTGCACACCAGCGGGTGCTGGTTACTTCATCACCTGTTTGGGCAACTCCTTCGCCTCCCATAACGGGCACAACGCCGCCACCTGTCCGCTCGTCATCAACAACAGCGAGCTCGTATCTTCGTGATTATTTTTCTTTTATTCTACTGTATTATGTTTACTCCTTTATAAATTCAGGATCTACACCTTATCTATGTGCCTGTACATACTTATATTGATGTACACAAGGAGGTACGTGGGAGTTTACACTACTTACCTCTTCACACCACACTGACTCGCACTTTCACAACAACCACAACGACACAACGACCACTACTCCTAGATGACCGGCCGCACGACACGTCATTCTGTAGGCGGTGTTTCAAGAAAGTGTACTGTGTATGTTGGGGGGACCAAACCTCAAAGGCAATGTGCTGGCGACATTCAACAACGTCAAAAAGAGGCAAATGTACTACAAGCATCCCTTCTCAAAAGTATGACTCACTACACTGCTTATTTTGTGCTAACGACGTGCTCTAGAGATGTCTTTGAGGGAACGTGAATGGTTGTTGAATGCTGAAAACCAGCAGCCCATCGCAAACACCTCTACCCCACCAGATGCACACGACTTTGCTTCCTGCACCATAGATGTCGACACTATGTTGCCTCCTCCTGGGGAAGAAGGGTTCTCACTTAGTCACGGGGAGATGAGTTATTGTTATATGCGGAACTAGAGCAAATCACGACTGGATGCCCAAGGTATGTTAGTCTCCCTCCATATCATCATCCACATGTCAGTTTGATGTATTGCAGACGTCTTGACTTGCGTGATCGCAGTGGTCGCATAGCCCAGCAGCTTGCTGATTGGTCTACTCAATATGACGACCTTACAGATGCACTTCTAAACTACCGTCACCATCACACCCATCAAACTATGTCATCTCCTGCCACTAGTGATAGCTCATTCTCAATTGAGGTGGTTGATATTTTTGGTGAGTTGGTCTCTACGCTTAGCAATTTGTATATCTCATGTAACTTAGATCGCACTACCCGCACTTTTAATCATGTCTCGCCTTTCATCAATGCTACCTTACTCCAATATGGCTGCATTGGCAGTTCTCCCCTTCGTCCTACAATTGCTATCACGATTCGCACCCTCGATGTCTTCCGCCAGACCCACCGTGTGTGCCCGCGTTACAGCATTAATGCAGAAGCAAAAAAGCTTGCTTTTCTTCACAACGTAAGTCAATTCTTTTCATCAAAACCAATATTTACATAAAATAGGTGTGTTATCGGCGGCACCTTGCTGAACAGCTACGAGTTGCCTATGATGTTTACCTTGAACTTGAGAGGCGTGTTGAAAGCCGTCTTCAAGCTGCCCTCGGTCACAATACGCCAAATTGGCGCATGCTCAATTCATGTCCTGCATGTCAGTACAAGGTAGTGGGTGAACCACCTCTTGAGTATTTGGTTCTATGCGCCCTTGACGGTAATAACTCTGCAAAGCTCATCGACCCAGCCATACATGGTGGCAATGAATGCTTTGACCCGAGATGTGGCTTATCTTCAATTTGGCTCACTGAAACCTATGTAGATCAATTCAAGGACGAGGTTCAACGTTCGCGCCACATGCAGGACCAACGTGTCTTGTGTGATCCAGATGACCCTTGGATAGATGAACCCGACTCTGGAGACTCTTCGGAACCGAGCACTGTCTGTGTCGATCGCTGGCGAAATGCTGCACCTGAGTCTCATAAAAAGATGTTCGCCATCTTCAAGAGATCTGGCATCTTTATTACTGTGTGTCAGCATGGTTTTTTGCTCACAATATGTGATATGGTACGAAGTGGGGAACTGTTTGTCATTTTATTTGCATATTTGCCATCTATCTGTTTTGTAACGACTTCTCACAGGATGAAATATCCGATTGCCAGCATCAGGAAACTCATGGATGTTTTCGGCAGTAATATCCTCTACAGCTATGACATCAAGTGCGCCTTTGAAAAAATCATTATGTGGAGCTCACTAGCAAATGATGCCAAGCGACTAAACCTTCAGGGAGTAGTTCCTGCATTTCACGGACATGCTCACAACCACCTGTGTCAAGTGGAACACCACTCAAAGTACAGAGTTGGCGCTGGCAAGGAGGACTTTGAAACTTGCGAGCGAGTTTTTTCAGGTTCAAATGCTCTCACTGGTGAGATTCACAATGCCTCAGACTTCCACCGGCATCAAGCACTTGATGAGTATTTTTGCTTCCAAGACATGGACCAATATGCCGCACTATGTAAGCCATGCGTTGTGGGAAGGACACTAGCTAATAAATATCTAGCGGATTTCATCTATCAAAATTACGTTCAAGCGCTAAACCTCATCTCGACAACAACAAGTTTCTTGATCAATTTCCGAGCTTCACATCCTGAGGCCACCACACCCTTCGAAGATGACCTTCAAGATGAACTTTCATATCTCAAACGTCTGACACAGGAAAGATGAGACTAACACTGAAGTAGACTATGTCAAAGCTTTGAACAAATACGAGGAGGCCCAGTAAGCATCTATATTTCTATCTAGTAGGAAACTTTAATAATGTACAAAAGGGATAATTATGAGGTGTCACGTGTGGAATTCAGCAAGCTCGATCTGTGCCCAATTTTTTCAGCAAAAGATACCGCAAATATACGCTGGCACCATACTCACACTGCCACCAAACGTGATCAGAAGCTTGAAGTTGTCATGGATTACAAACAGCAGATGGCATTGGATGTGCGATGGGGAAAAGACCACCCTGAGCATTTGAAAGCACAATCACGCATCACGCACCATCTATATCACAAGGCAGTTGATGATGTTGAGTATTTGGTAGTTATGCGTCTACTGGAGTTGACAAAATTGCAGATGAGTGGACTAGGTACATTTTTTTGATTTGATCTCTGAATTTCTCGCTACTGATTATATTTAGGCTATAAACTGCGCACCCAAATCTCAACTGTGCTAAAGAGTCGTGCAAATGCCATCCGCAATGCTCTACAAAGGTACAATAAGTATGCTGCTCAACTGTACCCTCCTCGTCCCTTGATGCAGTGGGAACAAATTGTCGAATACTCATTTCTAGCTGAATTCGACTTACTCCGCGAATTGGACGGCACAATTCAAGCTAAACATTGGGCAAATCCTGCATACCGGCATGCCTCTACTCAATACTTCGAGCAACAGCGTGCTAATGAGGAAATTCATCAGCTTAACGTCGAAGTGGGACATTTACTTACAAAAATTCGTGACCAAGCCATTGACTATCCTCTCGCCATCTCCCGCCTTACAACGGAGAATCCACCATTGGCATCAGAGTTGCACTGTCGTTGGGCACACCTGCGAGCCATCAATGCATGCCACTTGTTGCGTATCCACCAAATTCAGTGCCTTCCAGGGTACACCGGGCCTATGAGTGCTGGCATGCACGAGGGTCGTGTTGTGCCTCCCCAGTCTCCACCTCTCGAATATTGCCCTACATTGGAGGAGAAAATAGATGAGGGTGAGGGCCATGACAATGATGAGGATTTGGGACAGCAGCAACTCGAGCACATACATCACTATATTGAAGGACTTGATCATCATCTCATAGACTCAGAAGTAGCTGCATAGTTTTAGTTAGGTTCTCCATAAATGTAATTGCGCTCTTCATATCAACTTGTCTCTTTCACCCTTAGCTCTAGACTGGTGACCAGTCCATCTGAGGCAAACTGTTTTGAAGCAACCAACACATCAAGTCAAAGACTGAGCTAAGGTAGACTGGTCACCAGTCCGAGGCAAACCGTCAAAGACAGTTTGCCTCATAGAAGGACTGGTGACCAGTCTACCTTAGCTCAGTCTTTGACTTGATGTGTTGGTTGCTTCAAAACAGTTTGCCTCAGACGGACTGGTCACCAGTCTAGAGCTAATCAAAGATCATTACTATATTTGAAATTTGAATCATATGACTTATGCACGAGTTGATGCGTGAGTAGTATTACATGTATATTGTTTATGCACGAGTTGATGCATGTTAGATGTGTCGTTTATGCACTAGTACTATCAATTACGTGCATTGCCTCACAATTGCCATCTACATAAACTGACGAGCCTCGTAATTCTACACACTTACTATCATGTCGTCTCAACCTAGCACTTCAACTTCGACTCAATTCCACCGGCCACCTTCTGTGACCGGTTTCCAGGAGACACTTGCTATGATTCCTCTACCCCCAAACCTATCTGCAATTTCAGGAGCATGTGAACGATGGCCATCAGCGATCTTAGCAATGCTCGCACATGGCTTTCATGAGGATGGAAAACACTTGCAATTTGATGAAGACGGATTCTACACATCGACTACGGACCACTACCGAACAGGCACCAGCAAATATCAAAAGGTGTCTTCAGATGACAAGATGCAAAATTGGTGCGTGTGCACCACACATGTTGAGATGATCATGGCTCGTATATTTGATTTGGTAAGTATTTTATCTAGTGCGCTGTTCTCATATTGACCATATATGTAGTGCGCTGTCCTCGACAGACTGACAGGCGGTTCAACCATTTTCATGCATCATCCAGGCGCCACACCTCCAGGCACACCCATCGTTCCCGAATCTCTCAACGCCAATGTCTACATTAACCCCAAAGTCCTCGTTGAGCACCACGAACTACATCCTGTGGTCGCTGAGATCACCCAACTCTTCCTTTCTAAATATGCAGCTCCTCTCGCTCAAAGCTTTACACTGTCGTGCACCAATAAAGGATGGAGAGTGGGAAGTTCACAAATGCAAATGCGAACTCCTACTAAGGGCAAAGGCAGGGCAGAGACTAGCCTATTGCCACTTGTCTCACCTCCAATCACCCCATCATCTTCGCACTTTGTTCTTCCAGGCCGCCCAGATGGCTCACTGGAGGTCCTTCTATCATCCAACTCACGTATCTTATCTTATGTCCCGCGCTATGATGGTCGAATTACGTGGGTGGCCTCTCAGATTGACGTACGGAGCACCCAAAATCGCACCGGTGACAGTGCTGTCAAGGCTCACACTAATGTCACCGGCTATGTGGCGCCCATCATGCCAATGAAAAACTCAAAAAAACAGTGTTCGGCTCGGGAAACAAACAAGGTAAGCATGGTGATGATGATGATGATGAAGTGACTAATACTCTGTATAGGGTACTCATGTCACCGTGGTCGAGTCTTCAAGCAACTCTGACACACACCTGTCTTCACCCTGGTCGTATCCATCCTCAGACCAGAAGGGTAAGGGTGTTCGAAAGATACCATCAACAGCTCCAGCCACCAACATGTCGACACCTGCTCCCTCAAATTGTACCATTCATCGGGCATCTTTGGCCCTGGCATCAAATAATTCAGTAATCGTCCCTTTCGGCAGCCGAACTATAACTATCCTGGAAAATCTGGGTTATCCTGACACCTTTCACCGTGTTTGTTACGAGATCTGTGATAAACACTTGACAAAGAGGTGGGTTGTCAAATTGCAAGAGGAGGCTAGAATTTCTGAAGAAGATGCAGATGCCATGTTGAAAGATTGCCAGGTCTCAATTTCATAATTCGCATTTGGTTTGGACGTTAATGTTTCTTGTATATATTCTCATACTAGGATTGCTATGCAGCCTCATGCTTCCCCTCTCATTTGTTCGAACTCCAAACTGTCAGAATGGTGATGAATCGGTTCCACAACCCTCATTGACTTGTTTCCCGTATACGTTGACCCCAGGTCAAGATGTCTAAGGAAGTTCGCCAGCAGTTAACAGAACGCAGGCGTGCCAAACACCTTGATGAAGAACAAGAAATTCAAGCCGTTCTCAGCTACCTTAATGTGAAGGCCACTGAATTGGCTGCCAAGTTCAAACAGCCACACCATCGGTACCTTGAACACTTTTCGCTTGGATCAACAATTCACCGGCACAAATGCCACAGGACGGGTGCATGGCATGCCTTTATGCACTTCAAAGGTCTCAAGAGTAATGATGGTAGGCTAGTTTCTAATATAATCCATGACGACACTGACAAGACACGGGGCAGGCAAGGACTTCAACGAGAAGTCAAATGTTGCAGACTTAGTCAAACACACTGCCGAATATCACGACCTCACAGACGAAGAGAAGACAAAGCTTGTGGCTGAGTTTGATGCTATCAAGAAAGGAGCTAGTAACCGTCCTCCAAACATAACCACTCGGACACGTGCAGCTGAATGTAGTCGCAGTTTTCAGTATGTCAAAGAAGAGGTGAGTAATGTCAATTGCATTTTTGGATACTTAGTCTCATATGTTTAGCTCGAGGCTCTCAAGCTGCGTGTGGGCATTGAAGCAATGGTCTTCATGGTCCGTGGCGTCTCAGATTTACCATGGCACCCAAGGCATTTTTTACGAGTTCGGCAGCCGAGCAATTTGTTCGTTTGTACTTGCGCAAGGATGTTGCTCAGTTGGCTACTGACTTCGAGAGTACTATACTTGCCAGCGGTTTACTTTTGAGTAAGTGATTATATTACCATGGTACAATGTTTTCTAATGTCTGTCTAGACACATCCACAAACCACCGTGATCGTGTGTCTAAGGCTAAAACAGCTATCAGAATGGGCCTTCGCACCTCGCTATGTAGGTTTTTGATTGATTGCTTTCATAAATTATGTGCTAACTAAAAATACAGGTAGTATAACTAACGACCTCTCTGCAACTGTAGAGTTCACGCAGTATCATAACCTCGTCCGCCGTCATCAGGTCAAGCTTGTTGGTTGGACTCACCCGCAGTGGGCGAATCCGTCAGATCTAAAGGGTGGCATAGAGAGCCTCGAGAACCTTGCGGATGCCATTGCAACTGGCACGTGCCATTTTGTTCCTATCTCAAGTGAGGAACTCGAAGACCGTTTACGACACATGAAGAATGGGGAGAAGCTCACTCCCGAGGTCGAGCCCCCCATGCCCATTGAACCCACCCGCAGCTCATCGCCTGACACACCTCAACTGCCTGCTGACACCAACCTGTCTCTATCTACACCTTCAACTGCGGAGTCTCTTTCAGCTAATCTTGTGCTTATGCATTCCTCAGACCTGGATTCTACTCCCCCAAATTCGCTTCCGCCTGCATCTAACTCTAAACGAATCATCCCCTCCATCACATGATGATGATGCAAACGATTTTTTTCATAACTCTTTCACTGGAGATAGCAATCATGAATCTGGTGCCGCCATGTCTCCATCCACGTCACCCACCAGTGGTACCTTGGATGACCTTACCCGCGTCTCCGCATTTACAGATGATATGTTGGATCCTGTCATTCGTGCTCTTAGTAAGGAACACACACTCACTTCGCCTTCTGCAGACCCAGTATTACCTGCCCCGCCTATCGAGAATTCAGACTGTACACCGACCCATCTCCAACACACACTCACTTCGCCTTCTGCAGACCCAGTATTACCTGCTCCGCCTATCAAGAATTCAGACTGTACACTGACCCATCTCCAACGCCACATGCTACGTCCTCAGCCACAGCCTCTCACGACTTCGGGTGTACTTGATGGGGGTGTCTTCATGCCCACAACCAATCACAAGCGCAACGGCGCTTCAACCGATGCTGTTTTGTCAGACAAACGACGCCCTAAACGTGCACGCAAGCTCACCGAAAAGGCTCAGCAATTAGTACAACCTGGTTCAAGTGAGAAACGTGGCCAGCACACTGGGAAAGGGCTCCAGTGGGGGAAAAAGAGCAAGAAGAGCAAGGCCGTTGTTGAATCAGACCAGGACAACATCTAACTTACACTTACTATGTCGTAGAATACTAGTTGGTCTCAATATACTTGCATATGTCACCTTCCTCATGTGCGAGAACATATAAGCAACAAAAACACATGAGAACGTTGAATAATTCAGTCAAAATCATAATATATAGAAAAAAACGCTAATAGAACATGGTATTTGGACTATATATACGAGCTCGCTGTTGTTGATGACGAGCGGACAGGTGGCGGCGTTGTGCCCGTTATGGGAGGCGAAGGAGTTGCCCAAACAGGTGATGAAGTAACCAGCACCCGCTGGTGTGCACCGGCGGTGCTCCATATGAACGAGTTTAGACTTTATTAAGTGTTACTAAGATTGCCATAAGGCCAGTTTACTCACTCGGTAATGTGGGAAACATAGGTGGTGAGCAGAGATCGCAAGGGCGTATATACCATGGATTGTTGATGCAGTAATTCATCACTCGAAATACCGAGCATGGCCGATGTCGACTTTGGTCGACACTTTGTTGGTAATGTCTGCCAATTGTGAGCAACGTGTATGATAAGACAGGTATGTGGAACATACTTCTTCTAAAAAGATTGACATCATAAAAAGGATTAGGATGAACATACAGGCTGCCACTGCACATGGCAGAAAGTATGGAAAATTTCCCCAAAAGGCATTGGCAAATAATGCAGGCCAACGATCTTGCAGTCGCGCGAGAGTTCCGCCCATTAAAGGCCTGACATGCCAATTCATTATTTGCCATCTCCATGATCAATTGCTCCACTTACCCGGTAAAACCTCCAATGCACCAGACAATTGGAAACAAGGCAAATGCCTGAGCCATATTCGTAGAGTCCGTCAATTCCCCCATCATAGTCTTCATAACCCCCACATTGCCATTTAGAAAACCACACATGCAGCAGCTAAGCAGACCTGGCATGTCAGCATTGCGCATCTCCTTCAGCTGAAGACACACCTAATGACAAGACCCCAGAATGTTGTTGAGAGGCCAAAACATAGCATTGAAATGCAAGCACCCGAGAGTCCAATCACCAACACCGGCTTGCACCCAATGCGGTCAGACAGCCTACCCCGCCTCAGCACCGTCAGTGCCTGCACAGCAAAAAACAGAGATTCCTGCCAATCACATCCGATGAGCGAACCATTCTTTCAAACACTTCACAAGTCATAATCCTGGCACCTACAATGATTCCAGCATAATATCCTACAGCTGCATCGTCGCCCCCAGTGATTCCGAGTTCTCTGATCAGCTAAGAAAGCAAGACAGTATCAAAGATGTACATCGAAAAGAAGTATTGTGATTGCGAAACCATACCTGATTGATGTACGGGAATATAGATGTCGAGGCGATGGGTTCCACAAGGTGCAGCGATATGAGTATGCCTATCTGAAGTTTTGGAAGGGGTGTTTTAAGTTTTTTCGAGCTCTTGGCAGGTACCAGAGGCATTGTCTCGTTTGCCATGATTTTATGAGAATTGGAAGTATCCATCCTGGTGATCTGGATTCTGTGCAGGTTCCATCGTCCAGTACCGTTCAATGCTACTACTGCCCCTGCCACATTTCATGGATTCCTCATATACTTTCGCATTCTCACCTTGTTTGGTTTGGACGCTTGGTGATGAGGTGAATCACACACTAGTCCTCGCCACAGGGACACCGGTGGCGGCCGGCGGGGGCTAGTTAAACTCGGATTACAGTTAGTACTCAACAAACTGTCAAGTAATAATTGAACTGACTGGATCTTACCTGTCAGTTCGGCGGCTTGCGTTCCAATGCATACATACACGATCTCTTTGCTCACTCATATGTGAAAGAAGGTATGAAAGCATAAGTGGAGATTCTCCAGAGCAAAGAGCGCTGCAATGTCTTGACTCGCGATCAGTAAATTCTGGTGAGCCAACCGACATACCTATATTTTGTAAGCCGAAATCTTAATCTCTTTCCTATACATGACGTTATGCTAGATATATTACTTTGTATCGTAATGCACAGGAAAGAACACAATGTCCTCACTGGGTGCTGCTGTGACCTGTTACGATTCCGAAGTAGATCGGCTCTCTACCTTGTTATGATTCAACTGACATTATTTAATAAAGGTTGGACCCTGCAAACTTTGTCGGAGAAAGGCATCATGTATCATCGTTTTCACTGCCCTCCTTACATGGTCTTTGTGGGAGATAGTCGGAAAGGGAAGGAGAACGTTGTGGGCGTGAGTGTCAAGATCATGATAAGTATTGAGGACGACACAAAGAAGATACTCAGCTTGTACTTTGTGAGGAAGTTCACCGGGGGCAGGCCATCAGTCGAATGGTAACAAAACAGAGACCTGATCTATTTTGGAATCGTAACAGGTCACTACACAATCTCACCGGTTTACTGATAGGTAATGTACCAGGACCTAGAATAGGTACTGGTTTTCCTGGACCCGTCTTAGGGTATAGGTATGACTCCTGACCACTGTTACTGCTTGCAGTGCATGCCATTTCGAGAAGAGCAGGCTCACCTAGCGAACGTCTTCGACGGCCTGGAAACAATGTGTACTAACGGTACTTCTGATGAGTCCATCGGACATCCATACTCGAAGTCTCGAACCAAGAAAAGAAGCTGATTATAGAGGGTGAGAAACCGGAATCGGGAGTCGGGGACCGGTGCGCAAGCACCCTTTATGATGCTGTACAGATTGATAGATTGTATCAAACAAGATATCTGGGAAATGTAATTTTTGAGTCCGTCCGGCTGCATCCGATGATCCGAGTGCGGATCCGTCTGGTTCATGACATTGGAACTTTGATGCGCTGTTGGTTATCTTGATCTCTTTGACTTGAGGATGGCTTGATTGCGCTCGTCGTCTGACGTCGCTCATCTCCAGGTACGTCCGTTCTCTCAGACTCCAATACGAACATACATCAACCAGATGTTCGCGGAGGATTGTCAAAGAAAATCTTCAAAGGGTTGAAGGACAGGCACATGCTGCCAGTTTTGGGAAGATCAAGTTGTCCAAATTGAATTCAGCTTTGAAGTGCCGAGTAAAATCTGAGCAAAAGATGTCTCATAGCTTGAGGTGCTTCAGAGGTGCCTCGAAGTGAAGGTAAAAACTTATGGCTGATGGGACTGTCGGCCGCTGTAGAAACAACAATACTGTGAGGAACAAATGATGCTCCAGACTGTATCTGTAAATGTTGTGAGGTCGCGCGTTGCCTAGTCTGCTATACTTGAGACGACAAGTGCGTTCGACCCTAAAGGGGAAGCGAGTGCAGCAAGGATCTAGTAGTGCGCGCCGAAGGCGCTACTGGTCGGCTGATGCGAAGCGCGAGAAAGTGCGCAGGTGCGCACAAGGCGCGGGAAAGCGAAGGTACGCGCGAGGCGCGGGAAGCGCGCGCGCGCGTGAGCGGTAATGAGAGAGAGTAAGAGTGAGTTTGCTTAAGGGGTGATTAGATACTAGACAAGAGATACGAGCGCGAGGTGTCAAAGAATAGATTTCTACTATGTTCTCCTAGGTAGTATGTGGGTGGTAAGTGGGAGGTAAAGTTCTTGTTGGAAAGTAAAGTGTCTAATAATATGTACTGCTGGCGCTTATATGGCGCCTAAGCGCTGTCATGCGGAGCCGAAGCGCTACCGAGTAGGTATGTAAAGATATATGTAAGTAAGGGTCCATGGTAAAAATAGAGGTGGAACGATATGTAAATAAGAGAAATGGGAATATACGCACTAGAGAGCTTGGTGGACAGTGGATGGATGCTTCTGGATGGCTGGCGCTATAGGGCGCTCAAGCGCGGGAAAGCGCGCGCGCATATACATCGTAAAGCGCGGGAAGTCGTGCGCGCATGCTGCGCATTGCGTGGGAAAGCTGCACCTCGTAAGGGAATAGCTGTGGATAGCACACAGAGTGATGCTGCAAGTCATGCTGTGTACTCCCTAGTGGAAAGTGCCATATCACACAATGCGAGGCATGAGTCTCTACACCGCGATAAAGGCTACCAGAACCGGAACCATGAGAGTGGGAAGCACACAATGACACGGTGTCAACTTTGAGAGCAAATTTAAGTTATTTGCTGCCTGTTCTTCGTTTTGGCCAGCTAGAAACAGAAAGCGCATGCGGGGTGGTGGAATGATTGAATGCTAAAGGTTACGACCAGCCATGCAACTTGGAGAGTATTGCGGTGGATCGAGATACTTTACATGTGGTAACTGTTGGAGTCTGAGGCCGAGACGTCTGAGTCAAGGGGAAGATCAGAGTCGAGAGAGGCCGAAGGATCCGAGCGATAAGGGGAGATAGGTCCGAGCACATGCCAAATGGGACGAAGGCGAGCGACGTATGACATCGGCTCACGTCCTGAAATCTTTTCAATGTTTATCAATCATATATTCCTGTAACCACGCCACTTACCTTATAAGCACAAAGTGCAGCGCCCAAACATCTCAGTCATTTCGAATGAACTGAGATGTGAGTATCTTCGTCGTAGCTGCCGTTAACGTTGAACTAACGGCTCGTAGTTACCTTTGTGTTCTAGGTACATAGATCAATAGAGTCATTTCGAACGAACTGAGATTTACCTTTGTGTTCTAGTGATTCGCTCCTTGTCGTGCATACTCTCACGCTCGTATAACACCTTTAGTAACACCAGGCAAAACAAGTTCATGATTATAGTCATGCCTGTTTGAGGATATATGAAGTTAGGTATAAGGAGTCTGAGTGGGACAAATAACGGAAAAAGACTTCAAGACGAACTCCTTTGTACAAAGATTCAAATTTCTAGACTAAACGCCTTTTATTTGCCCGGTGCACATAGTTCCCTGACCACATTCTCATCAATCCGCTTCGCAAAACATACCTCAAACGGAGCAGCATGTACGGTTGTAGTATCCGAGAATGCAAGCGTGTCAATCTTCGCTGCAGGATTCTCCGAAAGGCGGAAAGCCCACAGAACGAGAGCCGTGGTGATGAAGACTGATCGATTCGCGACATGTTGACCAGGACATACTCTGACATTTTCAACTAAGGAATGAGAATGGGTCGAGACATGAACGATGCCACTCACCGACGGCCAAAGCCAAAAGTGAAAAACCTCAGATCACTGTGCACACGACCTGCATCGTCAATCCAACACTGAGGATTGAACCTGTGTGGTTCCGGGAAGGCTTCAGGATCGTTTGCGATAGCCCTGAAACACGAGCGTCAGACACAAAGGTGAGAGGACGAAAACAATTGCCTACTGACCAATGGTTGCCAATAACAGTTGCACCTGCTGGAACGAGGTAGTTGTTCCAAATGATATCCTTAGTCACGCGATGTGCAAAGCCTGCAGTGCAAGGTGGTCGATCATCATCGCGTCGTCACAACTCAAAAAAGACGTACCTCCAAGAGTGACAGGTCTCCACCTGAGACTCTCGAGCATGAACACGGTAACCTGGGGCCACCTGTACCTGTAGGATTAATGTATCACTACCTACAACCATAAGACATTCGTGATACATCGCTGTACAGTAGACTATAGGTTCCCGATGGCCCTAGTGCAATCCATTGGCCATGTCCGAGTATAGTACTGTGTTCTACTCAAGTTGTGCTCATGTTGTGCCCTGAGATTTGATCGAGCAATCTAAGATTGAGCCTTGCTTCTCTTGCTGAGATCGAGCATCTGTGATCAATCTGCGATCAAGCCTGGATGCAAAAATATGTGTATTGTTGTGCCTGAGAATGCCGCTACACTACAAACAACCTAGTATCTCAGTGCGGTACCACAATGTATTGTTCAAAACTCCATGACCGCAGGAGGTGCGTCAATTGAAGGGCCGCTGTCATCCTCAGAAGCCGACGTAGAACTGAGATGAGAAACAAAGCTCCAACGAGCTTTGAATGAGGTCTGCATCGCAGAATGGAGTGCGGCTTGACGGTAGGCATATGCCTGCAAGCCCTCTTGCTCGGTAGTCTTCTCCGATGAGCGCAGCGTTGTGCGCTGATGCCACCAGCAGCCTTGCCATTCCAGAAAGGCCAGTACTCGTCTCATTTCTTTGGCCAGCAACTCTACTTCCTCGGACCATCGAGCTGCACGTGCGCGTGCCTTGCACCATTTGATACGAACACCTACATAAAGCGATATGAGTCAGCTGTTGATAGCATCAACCAGAAACACTCACAATCTTGAACACTTTCATTTTCGGATGGACTGGTGTCGACATCTGTCATCAGCCAGATCCACGAGATTGTCCCGGTGCCTTGAGTGTGATCACCTGTGAAATTGCCCATAGGCCGAATGTCCTCGTGTCTGAGGGGTTGAAGTGTTGCCTCCCAGTCCATCTCATCCAACCGACAGCTTAGTGATTCTATCGCTTGACAAGCGCGCCTGTATTTTAGTACCGCCACATCTTTCTTTGCTTCGACGCGTGCAATCAAATTTTGTGCACAGGTAGAAGCTGCTTGGCCCTGTAAGTTCTTGTCTTTGAATTTGTAAATGTGCAAACATAGACGAAGGTGGGAGCGGAGCTCGCTGAGGGCATCGTGAGCTTGTGCCTGCCGAAGTTTCCATTCGTGCTTCATTAAACGGTGATTGCAGTCGAGATGATTGAGAGCTGATGGTAGATAAAGTGGAAAATCCTGCGGCTTAAGTATTTGGGGGGCACCTGGACTTGGATTCATTGATGAGTGCAGCGTGGAGACAATAGGCATATAGAGTTGTTGATAGCGGGTCCAGGAATCGATGCGTCTCTGTAGTGCATTAGTTCTATGAATGATGGCCTCTCTTTGATTGTCTGTGGGATGAAGCGAGAGGTCTGAAATGTCGCATTTGAGCCGTTGTCTGTCATAACATTTGAACAACGACCACATGTTGAAAGAGAGATGTCACATACTGCAAGTCTTCTAATTCAATCCCACCACTAATAAGGATGCTAGGTGAGACATTGTCGTTGAGAGAGTGGTTGGTCCCTGCCTGCAGCTCTTGTGCTTCCAATTCTGCGAGCTGTGACCTTACCGTGGCCTGCGTAATAGCTACACATACAGCAGATGATCAGCACAAATTCATAGAATGTGTGGGCAGTGACATATGAGCAAGCTTGCTTTCGAATGGATTTGGGCGAGTGTTGTCCTCCTCCCACATCTTGACTTCTTTTCCCCACTCGTCCAGCAGCGCAGGCTAAATTGTTCCTTCCAAATCGTACAAGGCGACACAATGTTCCCATTCCCACTTTATGGCATTTTCCATCTTGCGCTTCAACATACGGCCTTGAGAGTCTGAAGTATCAGTGAGGAAAACATAATACTTGACAATGAAAACCCACCAAGTGTCGTCGTCTTTTTCCAATTCCAATCACCGAAGTGATCGTCTAAGGTGTCATGTCGAGTTCCTGGCCCCATTTCCTTCGTGCTAGATGCGACACGGTTGGCATTTGCCCAACCTCGTTCTGGTGCTTCACCGTCAGTCCTACCTACCCACTTGGTAAAGTTCCAGGAGAATGTGAGCTGACAGGCTGCGATATGGGCCGCGATATGAAACTTCGGTACAAAATATTGAACCAGCACATCGTCACGAGGTATATGGAGCCGAGTGTCATATCCCGCGTTCCGGACCCGGACCTATCACACTCATCATTTCCGGATTTCCGGATCCGGCTGACTTCTATGTATCGTCCGGATCCGACCCGCGTCTAACTTCCGCGCCTTATCCCTTTGGTATTTCCCTTATCAGTTAGTACGCTTTATTTTCTGTTCCTTATTCATTTCCGTCTTCATTTTACTAAGTTCCGATAGACTAGTGATAGTCGTCCCATATGTTTTCTTCATAGCTTTACATAGCTTCGCACTGCACTTACTGTTCTCCATTATGTCCTCAGTAGTATATAAACCCCTGTACAATCTCTGTAGTTTCCTCAGTTCGAATATCATATTAGACTCTGCTCATTCTCTCCTCCGTCCGACTTGAGTTTCTCTCTCGTCGACCTCCGCTCGTCTTAGGATCGACTCCTATAGACTTGACACCTCCGCCTCTACCTCTGGTAGTCCTCCGCTGTTTCCTTTCTAGTTCGGACTTCGTCCGGATTAGTCTTATCTCTTGTTTCCGAACGTCCGCCGGAATTCCCGCGCATCGGACATCGGACTCCGGACATCGCCCGACGCCCTCCGGACATCGTCCAGTAACCTTCGGACATTGTTCAACAACCCTCGGAAGTTAGGGGCACGTACTCGGGTAAGGGGCGCAGCGCACGAGCTGAAGCCAAGCCCTTCGGATCCGACCCTTGAGCACGTTCTTAACACCGAGCCAGCATGTGTTCCATTCTGTTCCATAGGTTTTGACCATTGACAAGCTATATCGTAGGAGATATTTAGTGCGGTCACTGTGAATCCGACAAGGGCTGAAAAAACAATATAATCCATATTTAGATATCTTGTAACACCGTCAGCTGGCTGAATGTGAAAAAAGTAGCAGAAAACATACCTTTCGCCTTTCTGTAGATTGCCTACCCCATTTGGCAATTTGAATTTGTGTCGAGCGCAGTTGATGGTACCTATACCAGTAGCTGCCAAGCCTCGCGAGGATTTCGTGTCAGCCATATTAACCGGGTTATGACTAACACAGGTACTGCGCTAGTAAGGAAACATTAAGTATGTCGGCCCTCAACAGTCCAGACTACATACGCACCTCTTGTCATTCATTGGCTCACTCAGATAGGTAGCTCTTGTATGCACGCTCCTCCACAAAATAGGCCCATCCTGTATTTAAACCAGGATCCACTCGGTCGGAGGAGACAGCCTTCCGCTTGAGACGGAAATTCGCATCTATAGCGACAAAGAGTGCGTACATCCATCTGTCAACCAGGGTGAGCAAGATGTTCTCATCAAACAATCAACTTTAAACTTGCCTCGTTGCTGGAGGTGAATTCTCCCAACCTTGGGGTAAATTCTTGCCCGCATGGGGGCATGCTGGACAAACTACCGCAAGTTCGCCAGCTTTTGTTTCTGCGACGCCACCAGGGTCGTGACCTCGGCCACTACGCCTGAGTTGTCGAAGGTGATGCCATTCATGTACTATCCTCATGAATGCTGAATAATGGTCCTGCAAGTTGAGAAGGATCAATATGATACATTAAATTGAAATTTTATGACTTACCTTGATGAGTGACAATCCAGTATTGTCGGAGCGCCTGGCTAGGCTGTGATAAAATTCATAGGCCGAAATCTTAGACTCAAATGACAGCAGTTGATAGTGCTCAAGTACGTTGAACGTTGCAGCGATTTGCGGATCTGTCGTTGTTGCCGGATACCATCGCACTTGTAATAGTTGCTTGTAGTGCAGTTGGGCGGTGTGACAGCCACAAAAATCTAGCGCGACATCATGGATCCCATTGATGTCAACAATGATGAATTCATTGCCTGTTGAGGGACGTGGATTGTAACAGTGGTCACTGGGAGGATGACCCAGTTGCACACATAAACCAAGGGACTTGAGGTGTGTGCACTGGAAAAAAGAGCCATTCCACTCCTATGTTTGTAGGTTAGTACTGTAGACCATGTATCTAGTAGGAAACATGTACTTCAATAACATGCAGTGGACTGGATTGATGGTGTTTAACAGTGCAATGTCGACAGTACATTTCCATGCCGAAACAGTCCCTGCATCGGTACTTGGGTTCTTCAATTTCACTGCCACAGCGGCAGACTGTGCGCTGGCCTTCGTGACCATGACCCTCCAGAAATATGGTCTCATCAAGGAAAAATTGGCAGTCGAGGAGCCAAAAAAGAAGCGGATTGTCCTAAAATAATCATGAGCGTAGTAAATATCATTGATGTTTTCACTTACTACAGCATATTCTTTGCGCTTATCCTGCAAAACGTCACCCGTGATGATTGGAGGATCACAAAATGGAGAGACTTCATCCCAATCGTTGTAGTCCGGCCAATCCTGGATGGCGTGAGGTTCATATAGTAAACCAGATGACTCACTCTCAAGTGTGGCCTCGCCAAGTGAAACATGCCCTGTTTGTAGAGTAGTGCGTCCATTAGTAAATGCATATTCCCATATCAACTTAACTGCTGGTGTGGAGCTTGGCTGAATGAAACGCTCAACTTGCAGCTTCGGTTTCTTTGCAGCCCGCGTCATGGCAGGATACTAGAGTGGTGGCCAAGCATGCAAATTGTTGACATGGCGAATCATTCTGAAAATTTACATGTAAGGCTTCCGTGACTTCAAATATATCTACACTTACCTTGTACTACATTATTGCCAGGACCATGTTGAAGGGCTTCACCAGTAGATTGATTTGACAGCGGGTAATGTTCTGGCCTGAAATTTGTTTTGGAAGACAAGCCAGATGGTATGGTGTAAGTTTCAGTATATTCACATGAGGCGTACACGATACTAACCATAGACGTGTACAACACGTGACCACAATGACCTCACATGACTTTGTTTATCAACACACGGTGCCTCGCGTTCTGGATGTTAGTACTAGTATATTAGACACAGCGCAAGAAAAACTTGTATGGACTACACCGTGACACTACGTGCACAAAATCTATGTTGCATGAGTACATGGAAGAAATCAAATTCTGATGCCTTTCTGATACATCATCTCCCCCATTGAGTGAGCAAGTGTGAGCTCGCAAACACCTCCAGAAAACAACAGACACTCGATGTCTTCTAGATATACAAGCACAGTCCTCAAGAAACGGGAGACCGAGTCAGCAGCATGCCACTCAGGCAAGACTCCGCAAAAATTCAAGATTTGATCTTGTGCAGGAATGGTCCGGTTGAGTATCTTTTGGACCTTGGCAATCGAGGATTCAATGATGGAAATATCACCGGGGGAGGAGTCTTCGGGGAAACTCTTCACGTAGTCGCAAAAGACTCCCTCAACAAATTTGCAGGGGTCATCGCCGATCATCGCCAACATTTCGTCCTTAATGTCCTTGACAACGCGTAAGCATTCTGGAAGATTGTCACTGTTGAAATTGAGTTTAATGTTTCATTTCATTTCTATTTATAAAATTGAACATATGCACATACAGCTTGATATTTTCGTCATCTTCTGATTCCGAGTCATCATCTGAATCGGACTCAGACTCCGACTCAGACTCATCGTCATCCCCACGATGCAAGGCTTTTGCGACAGCCTTCAAGAGCTCTTTGGAGAATTTCTTTGCTGCTTTCGATTCCTTGGTCTTCGAGCTACGAAGCACTCTCCGCCTCTTCAAAATATCATCTCTATGTCTTTAATGTAATTGGTCAGGAACGGATGTAAATAATTAATGAATGTATGACATACTTTGCGTAATGACGGCGGTGCCTTTCACGCGAAGCTTGTAGCTTTGCCTCGGGTGTTTTATGAACAACTGGACGGGCCATTTTGACTAGCTATAGTAGAGAGAGACTTGGCCAACAGTTGTAGTAAAGTGGTGGTAGTCTTCAAGAAAAAGAACCAAGGATCCTCCTTGAGTGTGGCAAAATTGCGACACTGAGTCTTGGTAGGACAAAAACTCATTTGCTCAATATCATATTTCAATGGGCCAAACTTATCACAATGCTAAGCTAGGCCAGTTGCAAGCATTGAATCAAGGCCTGTCTCATGTCAGCGTGTGTTATAGCATTGTAAATGTAACTTGAGATCATCAACAGAGATAAAGTCCGACTGCCATTGCACTGAATTGGTCCCTAATTACATTGAGTCTCGGTAGGATTACACCGAGTCTTAGTAGGACGAAAACTCATTCAACCAATATCATATTTCAAACGCAGGCGGGATCATTGCACTAGCACCGTGAGGCCAGTCAAGCATGAATTAAGGCCTGTCTCATAATCTTCAACATAAATAAAAGCCCTACATACTGCCATTGCACTGAATCAGTCCCTCTCTAGCAGTTGGACGAAAACACACGTGGTTCACAATCATACGCTTGAAGTGAATTTTTCATCTCATTGCCACACTAACTAATAGCTATTACCTGCAATGTACATCTAATCTCACCAATGGCACCACCCACCAAATATTCTGCCGAGCAGATCGAGTTTATGGCGACATTCCACAATCAATTCCTTGAATGTAAGGCCAACAGAAATTACGAACCTCTGTGGAATCCCTTTTTTGAGGCATGGGGAGCAAGGTTTCCAGAGTGTGCTGTAGTCTTCAAAGACATTCCACTCGATGTCGACTTAACCGAGGAACAGTCTACTGTGCTGTCAGAAGCCTGGGCATTGCGTCAACAGGTACGTATATGCTGTCCGAATATTAATTTCAATAATGTGTTCCTCACCATGTTAACAGCGCCTCATGGAGAAATTCCGTAATGATTTGGGTACGTCAAAAGCGGGTCAGCGGGCGAATGGACAGCACACTGCCACAGTCAACAAGATGATTAAGAATATCATGAAGGGCTCGACGGACAAACCCACTTGTGTCTTGAAACCATGGGAAATGTGCTCAAAAACACACTATACGAAAGCCAAAGATGCGGTGAAGACTGAGCAGGAAGAGTTAAAAAAAGTGCCATTTGCTGAGCCGGCTAAAAAGACTACCCTGGGTATCGTTAAGCGGCATCTCAAAGCCACTTTCGACAATGAGTCTGAGGAAGTAAAGGCAGAGGTCCTTGCTGCTATTGAGGCAATGAAGGAGGCGAAATGTGCAGAAATAGAGGAAGCAAAGAAGCAGGATCACAATAAGGATGTGTAAGTTACATTCTTTGCTTTCTATGAACAATGTTTTCTTACAGCATGTGCAGCTACATATCCAAAATCGCTGTGATTCTGACCCAGTTCTTCGAGGAGTTGCACGAAATGACAGATTGGGTATTCACGGTACTCATGGGCGGGCCAGATCCTGCTGCAGGTGGGACACTTGATATCAGTAGTTTTCATGTTGGTACAATGAAACTGGGCAACCAGTTCAGTCAAGCCTATCCCCAATTCTCGCAGAACATTATGGTGCCTTACACGCAGTTTGTAGAACGCGTTTTTCGTCAGTCACCCTTACTCAGTACAAGATATCAGACTAATACCTCTTTCAACAGCCAACACAGCCACTCCGGTCATCGCTTCTGGATCTTCATCTACTGTCCAATCACCCTCTGATATATCAACACCTACCACTTTAAATACCACAACTGCCACGTCTGATGCATTGTTTGACTCACGGCTTTCTTCTCTCACGGAAGACGTCGACATTCCATTCTTCTCCGAGCCTTACGCATCTCTGCCACAAATGGACATGGATGACACATTGCAGCCATCACTTCCCGTTCTTCCGATGCCTCTGCAACCTCTGCAAGACTTGGAGATGATGCACAGTTTCAATCTGTTTCTGCAGGACCCATCCATTCTCGAACAAGACCCACCTATCCTCGAACAAGACCTTGCCCCGCAACACTCGCTACCGATTATCGCGTCACCACCACGAATTCATCAAACACAAAACTCATTGATTCTTACAGATGAACCTGCTACTACCCCAAATGAAGCTGGAGCGCAGCCGCAGCCTTATCACACTACAAATCCCACCTTCACCTTCACCTTCCCTATCTCCACTCCACCACCCTCCCAGGCGCCTTCATTGACAACCCGCATTCTATCAGGTACAACGCCACCTGCCGGTGCACTCCCCACCCAAACTCTGACACCTCTGTCTGATGCTGCCCCAAGAGGACCCCCTTCTGACACAGGCAAGAAGCGCGCATGTGAATCTGAAAGAGAGCGGTTGAATGTCAGTGTGAATCATAAAGGTAATGCTCGCAGGGCTGGTTCCAGTGCCTCCGCCTTGGTTGATGAGAGAGTGACGGAATCAACGGATCAGCAGGATGGCCGAGGCAAACGTCAACGGTTCCAATCCAGGCGTGCTGCAGAAGCCAACAATATTGGTGGCTCGTCCGCCACTTGGAAGACTGGACGAAAATGAGTGCATATGCGCGTCTCCGACAATTGTGTCATTTATTATACCATTGTTGCATATATGTAGTTGCTTGCGTGTGTCGTGTGTTTGTTAATGCAATAATTTTGATTTATTAGTTCTTGACATATTGGAACTTGTGGAATCGGGTGATGCAGTTTCCTGAGTCCAGCCCCAAATACCATCTTGCTAGGGACATGGTCCCTTACCTCAAGTCTCTCTCTACTGTCCCTTCATATCATTGTCTTCTTACTGCGGTTCAAAAGCTTCCGGTATGTCAGATCTCTTAACCTCATGATTTTACATTGATTTTGTCTTTTTTAAAGCAAAGAACAGATTCAAAGTCAAGGAAACAGCATCTTCCTGTCTGGGCTTCTTGGACATGGTCTCAGGCATATCTGCCTCAAGACATCCATGAGGATATGAAAACCACCTCAGTCACCCTGGAGCATTTGAGTAACTACCAGTTCGATTCTCGTGGATGGGGCATGGTTGTGGCCCTGGGACTTGGACTCCTACTTCGTGAGTGTCGTCGTGCTCAGGAATATGAAGCCGACGAAGCTGGAGATGATGTACCTGACTACTTGGGTAACTCTATCTTAGGCATCCAGATGGGCGACCAGATTGAGGAAAAGGTTGTAGAGATAGGGGCAGAAGTTGAAGCCATGCTGAAAGATGAGAGCCTGGGGTTGTCTATTGTGAGGAAAGACATTGAGAAGAGGTGTTCAGAGGAGAAAAGGAAGTTGAAGGAGAAAAGGAGAGTCGAGGAGGAGAAGAGGGCTGAGGAGGAGAAGAGGGCCGAGGAGGAGAAGAGGGTCGAGGAAGAAGAAAGATTGGCTAAGCAAGCAAGCAAGGTGGACAAGAGGGTGAGGAAATCCAATGCTAAAGAGAAGGGTAAGAGGCCTGCTGCAGATGTGGAGGAACCATCCAAGAAAAAGGTGAAAGCTTCCCCTCCTGATCCACCTCGTCGTTCTGCCAGAGACAAAGCACCTCCAAAGAAGTACAATGTCTGAAATATTTGATATATCATTCCATACATCTTGTATCACAATGACTTAGAGTTGATTAAATGTTTTGTATATCTGTGCTTGAGACTTAAAGAAATATTCAATATGGCACTGGCCATACATGTTTGAATATAGGTCATTACTCATGCAGCCAGCCCATTTGCACGTACTGCACAACCAGGCCGGCCTTCATTGGTATGGGTCACTATAGGTGCGGCCAGCCCCCTTTTCACACAGTAGAAGCAGGCCGGCCCACAGGAGTATAGGCCATTACCCATGCAGCCGGCCCATTTGTACAGACTGCACAACCAGGCTGGCCCTCATTGATATGGGTCACTATAGGTGCGGCCAGCCCCCTTTTCACATTGTAGAAGCAGGCTGGCTCACAGGAGTATTGGTCATAACCTATGCAGCTGGCCCATTTGCACAGAATGAAATACCGGGCCGGCCGGTATTGACCTTTGGGGCAGCTGTTCCCCTTCACATATGCCAGGGGCAGACTGCCAGAATGTTGGGTTCTTCACAATTCACTGTACACTATCAATGGCTATAACTTGATATAGATTATGCATGACCTGGCCTTCATAGTGTACAGTGAATTTTGAATAGTCCAAGATTGATGCCCTAGCCACTGTATATATTTTACAATATTCACAGATTCACCATCACAGTGATATGCAGGGTGAGGATGGCTCATCACCTCTACATGCATGTGTTACAGTTTTGTGGGTCACAACTGTACTACTAGTGTATTGCACAGATTTTGTAGGTTTTATATTATTTTTTTTCATTAGCCTTTATCATCGGTATTCAAGTTGGATCAAAGGTAATAACCTCATCCCAATCCTTTGATCCAACTTGAATACTGATGATGTTTGGATAGTTTAGTTACTGATACAAAATTGTTTACACTGCACTGTATTTTAGATATTACCATTTTTTTATACTGGAGGATGGAGGTCTTCAAGTGCCTTCAAAACCATACTAATCCAAGAGCTACCATTAGCCCCTACAGTGTTTGGCCTATCTGTCATTTATACTAGAGACATTGGCCTGTCCAGGTCCTGCAGATACATCATTTATACTAGAGACACCGGCCTGTCCAGGTACTGCAGATATATCATTTATACTGGAGTCATCGGCCTGTCCATATTTCACATAGTCGGCCGATCCTGGATATACGTACACCGGCCGGCATCTGGTAGGCCAGGTTTTGCAGGCCAATGTACACGTCCTATGACAGGGTTTTACAGTGTCATATGACTGAAAGGTGTGTGGTGAGGATGGCAAGGTCGCCAAGGATGCTCTTGCAGTTGTCACCGAAGCCGGGTGCTTTGACAGCTACAACCTGGAGCTGGCCATGGAGCTTGTTTAGGATGCAAGCTGTGAGGGCTTCGCCATCTAAATCCTCTGCAATGATGACCAGTGGTCTGAGAGCAGAGGCAGCAGTTTCGAGAGATGGGAGGATGTCCTGCAACGAGGAGAATGAAAGGCTTTTTGAAATCGACTTTTTGAGTCTTGACGTCGGTGATGAAGTATGGGGAGATATAACCACGGTCAATGTGCATGCCCTCTGTCACTTCAATCTCGTCCTCGGTTGTCCGACCCTCTTTTATGGTGATGACACCCTCCTTTCCAACTCTCTCCATCACTTGCACAATCAACCCACCGATGTGCTCGTCACCGTTAGCAGAGATGGTGGCGACCTGTGCAATCTCAGTGGTGGTGGTAATAGTTTTGGTATTGGCCTCCAAGAACTGAACCACTTTTTGAATGGCTGCTTGAGCACTGCAATGGAGGTCCATAGGATTGCATCCTGCAGCGACATTTTTGACACCCTCAGCGTAGATAGCACGAGCAAGGACGGTTGCGGTGGTAGTACCATCACCAGCAATCTCGTTTGTTTTTTGTGCGACGTCCTGAACTGTTGAGGCTGTTTGGGAAGCTGCGGCGGGAGATGGGTCACATGACTAAGGTTGGCTGGTCCGAAATCAAAATTGAAACATGAAATCGAAAGCCTTACATAATGTGAAAAGGAAAAGCCAAAATTAGCACCCGAAAGCGAAACGAAAGTTCGAAACCTTGATTGAAATCACTGTGAATTTTGTCCGCTGGCGCCCTTCATATCTAGGCGACGCTGGATACATTATGTTCGGACCTGTGGCTTGGGAAGTGCTTGCCTTCGGAACTATTTCTTTCGCTGTGCTTGGTTCTGTGTGTCATTGATTTAACTGGAATATGTCACAATTGAATTATCCCAAACAGGGCTCTGGACTACTTTCCAGCCAGCAGGCACTGTCAACGCTTTCGAATCAGGGCATGTTTGGTATGTATCTTTATTTCGCTACCGCGGACACTGGATCGTTTGGCTTGGATGGATCTTCTCAGTGCAGCAATCATTGCCATAGCTGGTTTCATTGCAATGATTGGAGCAGGGCTGAACCTAGTTCCCGGACGGTCTTTGACGGTAACTACCTCCAGTAACTTTTTTGATGCTTTCTTGGCTGTCACAAATCCTGTGGGTACCTTCTTATGTCTTCGAGTAACTTGTGTTGCTTATCTGCTCATTAGGTTCTTGCATATGCAGGTACACAATTTTGTGATGTTAATCAACATTCCTAAATACTTTGCTAGGACACTTCATGTATGACTTTTTGGGCATGATATTCTGAAACTGACCTACGACAGGTTCTTTATTCCGATATCTGAGATGCGTAAACCCGAGGACGCTAGTATGAAGGTCAGAACGCTCCGGTACTCGATATTGTGACTGAAGGCCATTTTCAGTGTCTACAGAGCTTCACTACAGTATTCTATGTTGTTTTCAGCGTAGTCATGTATGTCTACAATGGAAACACAGTCCAGTCCCTGGTTCTCTTTTCCCTTCCTCCGGTACGGGCAAAGGCAGCATTCACCATTGCTCTCCCAAATTTCCTGTTGTCAGTGATGCTTTGCTGTTTGGTCTAGTCCTCACTAATTCTTTATTCCGGGTCATACACTCATACAGCTACAAAGCTTGTGTTGTTCGAATATTTTGTCATTCAGAGCACATCCATTCACATACCTTACTCGGGTGGACAGTTTGGACTCTGCTGTGTTTTGCAAGCTCAGCTATGGCTGCAATTCTCGCCATCGCAGTTCCAATATTTTCCTACCTAATCGGCATCACGGCAGCCCTCTTTGCCGCATGGTACGCGTATGGTTTGGCCGTATTCTTCTGGTTGCATGACACATATCATCTCGAGGGTGGCATGGACGGGCTCAAACGACGATCAATCGGGACAATACTCGCAGTGTTGACTATAATTTCCGGCACTTTCATCTGTGTCGCTGGGACTTATGTGTCGATAAAGGTCAGTGTTCGTGCCTTCGCATCTGACACTCATCTCACTGTCAGTGGTTGATGATAGCTCATCGCTGAAGCCTACGCCAATGGCCAAGTTGGGAGACCGTTCGTTTGCTAGAGGGGGTTTCATTGTGGCGTAATGTGTAGTCCGTGTCGAGTCCTTTAAATTTAACTTTTAGAGCTTTTCCTAGGACATGACCAGCTTGCATCATCAATCATGATAGTCCATGATACATGCTCAATGTGTTCCAAATGCGCTAGTTGCTGAACTGATCTGGGACATTCATATCAGTGATTTTAGCTTTATAATGATAGGTGGCTGTGGACACGGTGTTCGACTCAGACTGGGAAGAATGTCTTTGACGGTGGCTTGCTGGTAAGTAGGCGCAATAAGCGCACTGGTAAACTCTCATTTGAATATTATGTAAAAGCGTCAAGCGTCTCCCCAGTCTTTGTAATTTTCAAATTTCTTCCCTTATACTATTTGCGTGCACTGGCAGTCTGCTACATACTAGTAAAGAACAACTATTCTAAGTGAACCGGTGACTGTCGACCCATTCCCGTCCCATTGCTCGTCACCTATGTCGGAAAAATCTAAACCTACCTTGGAAGGCTTCTATATTTAGACATCATTTCGGCACCTTCCAAGGGCATTGCAGCCACAATTCCAGACCCTTGCATGGAACCTCGGACATTTTTGGCACTTCGAAGGACCTGATGATAATTTTAGCTGCTTCCAATTGGCTTCCATGAGTCAGCATCCACTCTTTGCCGTCGTCCGTCGTTCAATCATAGTTTGTATTCTTATCGACAACTGAATCTAATTTGTTTCTTCATTCCACACATCTGAATCGATATTGTATCATAATATTGTTCACTATGGCGCCGTGGCAGCCGCAAGCACAACCAGGTCCTGTCTTAAATGGACTGTCCTCTGAATCTGATCCAGGCGGCCCAAATCCAAATCTTGTACAGTGCAAATATTGTAATTGATCCTTCGCGTCTCGGGGTATTGCGTCTCACGAAAGGAGCTGTTTGCAAAAGCGGAAGAGAAAGAAGGAAGCCAAGGAGTTTGCAAAGCTAGCTACGAGAGCAGTTGAAGTGCAACAGAAAGGTATGTAATTATAGACTGTAACATTGTAATAACATTCTGACATGCTGTCAGAACAGCACAAAATCCGTCGTCGTGAGGCAGCCAGTCTGAGTGCTGTCTCACACGGGCTCCTAGGCCAGCCAGGAGGAGCGCACCTAGTAGAGTCTGGCCTCGATGTCATAGGACATGACTACTATTATGAAGATGATCGTGATGGATTGGGCATTGAAGGGTCGCATCAACGTGAGTACCGCATATGACTAGATTCATGATTTATCTCTGACCAATTCATTTAAAAGGCTCGGACTCTGATATGAGCATGAAGAGTATTGCCGGACCAGCATCCAAGAATGGACCTCCCATCATCCCTCATCCCGATCTTGACAAGTTCAAGATGGAGTACCACCCCACCAGTGGTCAACCTACAGTCGTCGAAAGTTTTTCAGTCTATGGACGTGCGGATGCTCCGCCTCCATTCGTCGACGACTCTCCATGGCTTCCCTTTTTATGCCGTGCCGACTTTGAGTTTGCTGAACTGGCGCACCGAGCCGCTCTCAGCAAGGAACACATAGATAAATTTTTGCAGCTCATTTGGAACATTGTAGATGGTCACACAAAGTTTACATTTAAGACTCACGGTGACGTATCAAGAGCATGGGATAAGGCTTCAACGCAGATGACACCGGTAAGTGCTGTCTTATTTTGAAGTCCATTAATCTAATGATTAGTTACAATTATAAACCTTAGTTCGAGAAGCACATTATATCTGTAGATTATCAGAAGGGGAAACTGGACTTCGATGTGTATTCACGGCCAATATGGGACTGGGCCATGGACCTACTCAACAAGCCTATTTTGGTGTCGCATTTTGAATGGGACGCTCAGCGGTTGTACAAGCATAATGGTACTCGGTATGAACAATTTATACATGAACCTTGGACTGCAGACCGTTGGTGGAGGATCCAAGTATGCACACAATACATTAGCTTTGATAGAACTAACAGTACTAATGATTCGTTTTGTTGTAGTCTTCGTTACCTAACAATGGGGTACCTTTCGCCTTTATCTTGTATGCAGACAAGACACACTTGTCGTCTTCTGGCAATGTCAAAGGATATCCGGTAATTGCCCGGTGTGCGAACTTACCGGTTCACATTCGAAATCATGCTGGAATAGGAGGTGGTCGCCTCGTGGGCTGGTTACCGATCGTAGGTTTCTGTTTTGCCTCAAATGTTACTTGCTGATCGTACTAACACGGCGTTATTATGAAGATGCTGAAGAAGACCACAAGCTCTCCTACACGAATTTAAAGCGTGTCATTTGGCACGAAGCGTTTTTAAAGTTTCTCGAGGTTGTCATACTTTACTCTAAGACAGGATTTGCCCATAAATGTTTCGATGACATCACACGGTGGTTATATGCGCTGATTCTGCTATTATCAGCTGACTATGAAGAACAGTGAGTACACTGTCTACTTCTACCCTCAAGTTATTGACATTTCAACAGGTGCGTGATGGCATTAATACGAGGGACAGGCTCCCTCTGTCCATGTCCCATCTGCCTGGTGCCTTCAACGAAACTTCGCGACCACACTGTGACATACCCCATCCGAAAAGTTGAGGATGTGCAAGTTCGTGTCAAACTCTATGAGGAGAACCGCGTCGTGGGAGAAGCGGCCCTGAAGGAACAAGGTTTGCGACCTGTAAAAGTACGTCCTTTGAATCCTTGTCTTTCTTGCATACTCTGAATCATACTATCGTCAGAATGTCTTCTGGAGATTGGAAAACTCAAACCCTCATGAGACAATCTCTCAGGACCTGTTGCACGCATTTCATGGCGGTTTATATGGTCATCATATTCACGAAGAGGCTAAGAATCTCGCAGAACTTCTCGGGCGCAGTGCCCTCAAGCAAATTGACGAGCAGTGAGTTCTTAATGTCTATCACTATCCTTTAACTTTGTTCATATTTTGTACAAAGATTTGATGCCTTTCCACGATGGAGGGGTCTTAATCATTTTTGCCGGGTCACGAACATTAGCTTTAGTGATGGGAACAAATTTCGAGATATCTCGAAGGTATGTCTAATTACTTTGTCGACAAACTTCATTTTCTCATGACTATGTCAACAGCAATTTCTGTTTGCTGCTCATAATGTGCTCACAAAGCAGGAGAGCAAAGCCGGCTACATGCTTTTGCGGTGTATTGCGAGTTACCTCGCTATAGACATGTATGTCTCGCTCGACACCCAAATGGAGGGCACTTTTATTAGGCATTTGGCTTTCAAACAATTTTCAAACATGTTTCTAGGCAGGCTGCTACGCGTTTGCGGGACTTGGAGGATTTTTGGTTTGAATTGTGCCGAATTCGGCGAATGCAGAGTAGTGATACATCAATGTCTTATAGTTGTAGGTAGTGATACATCAGTCCTACAGGTACCATGCCATGTCCTCATATACCTGGTGCAGAAAATCTATCCACAGACCAATTCTGTTGCGTCACAAAAAATCAGAAGATGAAATATGTTAGCATTTGATCACTCACCAGCTGAGGAGTAGGAAAGGACACACCACGCCGTCCAAGCGGCATTGGCAATACGAATGCCACGGCCGCAATCTGTTAATATATGTTGTTCTACATCGTTATTATCTCAAATATAATTTTACTGAGAAATGGCACTCACTAACACGCCATCGGCACCAGAAGGAGTAGGAAACCTGGTGATCCTGGAGGGTCACAACGCACACAGAACGTGGCGTAGCCTTTTGACCACATGACACCTGGGGTGAGGAAGGCTCGAACACCCCAACAGAGGATGTCGGTGCAGGCGACCTCCTTGAGAGCCAGGAGAAATAACCTTTCGGATGAGTAGAAGAAGAGGGGCATTCTGAGATGTAGCCTCTGCTTGATGGGGAATCCCAGGCACAGATGCGCTTAGAGAAGATTAGTTAAAATAAAATAAAAACATGAAAAGGATGAAGTGATAAGTGTTTAGGGCCGGAGCGCATTCAAGCGGGAATCTCCAGCGGGGGGTGACTTGTCACTTGGTGCTATTTTCGATAATCAACCTACCGATCAGACTCGTCCATCAGATGCACATCTCATGATCCAGGCCCAGTCATCAGGCGGAAGTAATGTTACCTATAGATAGACTGAAGAACCACGATGCCATCAAACGAAGGCCAGGTACCAGGTCCAGAGAACCATGGATTGAGTACCGGACCAGGATCCTCCACTGATATATTAGCCCTATAGATTATAGACAACTGTGGATCATAGGAATACATGTATCAGTATTGCCCTCTAATTGTAAGTACTTGATGTATTATTCTTACAGTATGGCCTGCCACATCTTCTCTCTAAGTGCTGAAGTCTCCCAAGGCTAGACTGGTTTGGATGAGAGCTGATTTTAGTCCCAAGGTGCGGACGCATGACGGTGTGGTATCCTTCGTCAGCTTATCGATGAGGTTTTGTTTTGTTATGCAAGGTAAGCGACCCATTATGTTTTTCCCAGACTCTTCCTGAACGACTCCACTAGACAGAATCTTCAAACGCTAGGCTACATTGTGCCATAGGCACCAAGGAGTTGATACTGGTAACGTGGTTCCTTCCATCCGCATGCAGTCACAGTATAGTCATTGCTTATAATGCTAGCTTGTTATTTTCATTCGACCAAGTGCGAGCATAAGGTTGGCTCTAGGTCTTATCATGCAAGGCATTCGTTCTCGTAGCAATATGCTGCATAGAAGACAGATGACTGGCACGCCACGATGACCAACTATATTTTACAGCAGTGTAGCACCTTTGTTGTCTTGCAATCACTTCAGCGGACTAGCCGGGTTACAAAAGTAAAGCAGACTGTCATTAAGTGACATTTATATTAAATACAAACAGACATGTCTAAATGAAAACTACAGAGACCCATTATCCGAATCTGCGGCTTGTCTGAGAGCAAGGCGTTTTTGTCGGATCTTGGATAAGGCGCTATTGGCACTGATAGGTCTCTTCACAGCAGAGGAAGTGGGAAACACTTGGCTGAGTAATATCAGCCTTTGGCAACATAGTGAAGGGTGATAAAACATACCGATTCCACCAGATCAGCAGTTCATCGACTTCTTGACATTCCTCGGGGTCTTCTAAGAGGTCAAGGAGACTGTGGTAAAACGTCTCAGAGTCTGTAGTTGTATCGGTCCGCGAGAATACTGAGGACGAACTGAGAGCAAATCGCACCTTTAGTCGTACATGAAAACCATGCTGCGATAGAAGTGTGATGTTCAATGGACCTGAGTTGCGATATAAGCCACGGAAGCAATGGTCACAGCATTCATGCCATGGAGGCGAGCATTTCCCGATCACGTGGCCTTTGACTCCCTCTCGACTGAACTTGGGGACGTGAAAACATGCTTGTAAGCCTGGTAGAATGCAATGTAGTGAATGTATAATGTGAAAATACAAATGCGCACTCACGCACACTAGCAAGCGGCTCCTAAGAAGACCACACCACGGGTCTTCGGGGTCATAAGTATGGAGGGCATACAAAAAAATGGGCCATTGATCTCCACAAACTAGCATTTCGCCACTTCGTAGGTCCTCTTTCGTCCTATTTACAAAAAAGTGCAAAAAGCACTTCAGGACCGCAGACATGCCTAAAATTGAATCATACCGAGAGTCATTCCAGTCCAACCCAGCAGGGCAGAGGAGAGAACCGGTGAGTTCGTGATTGAAACCACGATCAATCTTGGAGTTTCTATGTAAAGGAGGTTGTATGGCTTCCCCTTTCGGGGAAATCCAGTTGAGCACCGCAGACTTCAAGGTTTTTGTGTCGTCGCCTCTGGCACCTGCGGCTCCCTTACCAATCTGTAGATGATAAGCATGAGCTTTGGCTACGCAGAAAAAAGATGCACCAGCTCTCCAACGTGAAGGATTTCTTCCTCAGACCCATCTTTGAGTCGTTCCAGGAGGCCAGGATATGAGTCTAAAAGTTGCCCGAAGACGTGATGTTCTCGCCGCTCTCTGTCATGTACGTCAGCGGACAAGTAAATACAGAAATACATGTCTTTACTCAGCAGAGAATTCTCCAGAGGAGTATCCTCCAGTAGTTCCAGTCTTAAGATGCCGTTGGTGAGTAAGGAAGGGTAGTTACACAATGAGAATACCGTTCGACCAAAGTGGCGTCCATGAGAGACAAGCGGGTCGGAGGAGGAACTGGAAGACAAGATGAGTCTGTAAAGGTTGTAGTCAATGTTAGAAACTGCTTACACTTTTTTTCGAGGCCCCATTTAGAGAGCTGATGAGCCGCGTTTGCTCGGGATACTGGAGGTGGCGTCTTGGGCGATCATGAAAGCTGGGGGGAAAGGGAAGGACAGCCTGGACTTCACAACTTTTATCCATGGCACAATGCTACGTAATATCCCATGAAAACCACCGGCCATGATACTAGCGGCCATGGTACTGGCGGCCATAGTGACTCCAGCCGCTCGTATGCTGAAATATATTAACCCCGAGTCAGGCTGGCATATCATGATCAGGATAAAGCTCCACTAGCCTTGCATCTTCTTGTTGCGGCTCGCCACTCGATAAAACATCCGCCTAGTGCAATATGCCACAATCATTGTGTGAGAACTTCAGAGTGCAAGGACGTAATGTCAACTTGCACCTGTGGTAAACTTGACGCACCTACCTAGCAGTGGGACGTACTGATGCCTTTGTCTAGGATCGAGTTAGTGTGCGGTGCTAATAGAAGCAGCAAGGAACTCACCGGTATAAGGTCTGTTGACACCATCAGCCATGCTCAAAGCTAATTATAGACCAGTGAGCCGAACATTGATGACGACGATTCCTCAGTACGTGACGACGGGTCCCCACTTCTGCCCGTTATCAGCGAAGGCAAGGCGGACTCCACGACCGAGCTCAAAGAGAGACTGCATCTGATAGAGAAGAACTGCTTGAGGCTGGAAAGGTTATATCAAAAATACAGACTTCGTTGGCTGGAGGAAAAATATCGAGTAGGGGTGCTGGAAGAGTACGCACCACATGGAATCAGTACTTGCTCTCCCCATCAGATCCCATGGGATGCCCCTTCTCCTCCTTGAAGTAGGTTGGTCACACATGTTCCTAAAATCAACTGACTGGAGCGCTCAGGTGAATATGATCCTGAATTTGAAGACCAAGAGTGAATGCAGGAGGCGTATTGTAGCATTGTGTCGTCCTACAAAATTTTCGTGACACAGAAGAGCAACTTGGACGTGATGCCATTGGTCTTCGCCCACTGCCTATATTTTCCCAACAGACGTAGATATTATATTCTCTGATCATTAGAAAAACTTACTGCAAACTTGGCTTCTGCATGTCGCCTATCGCGCACGTCGATAATGTACGCGCGCCTGTATATGTATTTTTCCCCTAAAGGATACCTGACCGACGATGAGGTGATCAATTCCATTCCTGAGCGAGTTGTATGCGTGCGATTGGACCTGCCGGGGATGAAAGAATTCAGAAACAACATTGCTGGGCAGTCCTTCGATGGCGGTAGAAATCCACGGCCCTGTAAAAAAGAGAAAACACAACCAAAGCTGGAATTGATAGTGCACGGTGCAGCCATATTACATAGGCAGTGGAGGGACAACACGATAGAACGAGGGGCGAGAGTAACGGCTAACTTGAAGAGTATACTAAGACAATACCAGACAAGACATAAAAACCAGGCTCGTAGACCTATTAATGTTGGGCATCATTAGGACCTGCTTGTTGTTCCACATTCCGATGCTTGCGCTGCCTAGGGACCATATTCAGAACATGTCCATACTTCAACAAAGAGTGAAGGGTTGCGTACAGATACTACCAATGCGCGGGAATTTCCGCTGCTTGGAATCTACAGATGCTGCAGACCTATTGAACATAGGAAAGCACTTCCAAAATGACTTTGGGGGCGAGGCCAGGACCAGAGTGGAAGCTGAAGCAGTCACTATGCGAGGATGAAAGGAGCTTTGAGGGGGAAGAGATGGGGAAGGGGATGCAGCTGCATCATGCGAGTTGATGGTTTCTGGAGGTACTTGAATATTGTCGGAAAGCTCGACGGGATTTCATGATCGGAGTGACCTTGAAGAGACAGAGATGGGGAATGTGAGGCAGCAGCATCACGCGAGCCTACAAGTTCTGTTGCGAACTCGGTCACATCCGGTAGCTCGTCCGGCACTGGTGCAGAAGAAGCTGGAAGAGAATGGAAGTTTGCTGATGGCTCGAAAAATATTTGCATGAGATATACTGCTCTATAAACAAGACACGAATTTATTACCTGGTCGATATAGCTTGAGATGTGGGACGCCGGGGCAACGAATGAGGATGACACAGCATTCGTCATAATGGTGGACTCCTGAGATATATCCCACAAAAAGATTGTGTTTTCCTGACCGCCTGTGGCAACAAGCTGGCCATTTGGTGAGAAGGCTATTGCAGATACCCTTTTGGCATGCTGGAGCACACCACCGAAAGGTTTGCAAGTCGTTGTGCTCCACAGCCTAGTGGTGCATGCAGTGGAGATCCGAGCTGGGCACCGGTCAGTGCACTCCAGAAGTAGATCTGGCAATCATTACAGGCAGAAATGAGACGACAGCTGTCTGGAGACCAGACTATTGAGAACACCGGCTTGTCGTGGATGAGTGGTTGGGTTTGCTGCTTGCCAGTCACTGCGTTCCAGATCGGCGAACCATCTGATCATGTGATCTGCTCGCAAACTTGATTCCATAAGATAAAATGGTTTTGTCCTCATTTATCCATCAAAGTAATAGTATATTAAAAGCACACTGTTTTACAGTGTCGATACAAGGCTGGTAACGATCGATACAGCAAAAAAGAATAATTCAAAATAGCTGGAGCACAAGCTGTGACGTAAGTCCTGACTGGAACTGATTTTACCAAACTTCAAAGTCGTCATGATGTAATTGGTCCGAGTCATCGTCAGCGTCCACATCGCAGTAGCGTAGCTCATCGGATAGTATAGGCCGTAGGATAGATTGATCCCAGGATGTTTGTGAACCTTCAAGGGCATCAGTTGCGGAGGAGAACTGGTAGGTCTGCGCTTACTGTGGTCAGAGAAATAGAATGCGTGGGTGTTCTCAAGAGCTAGGGTATACAGCGTTATCTCAGCTTGGGCACGGTGCATCTTGGCCTGCAAGATGAGTAGATCTAGCCCGTGATTGCGTAGGTTAGCGTTGCTGCGGCAAGCAACAAAAGACTTTGACATGAGCTCCGACTGCATGTCCAATTCCGTTTGGAATGCCTCGTAAAAGGCTTCTTGGACATCAGCAGTGATCCATGTGCTCAACAGGGGTGGTGAGGAGCCGATCCGCTGTAGAGGGACAGTTAAGCATGACCAAACAGAATTTTACAGTACTGACATCTAAAATGTCATGTACTGGTTCTTCCTGTGCAGAGGGGGGTTGACCGAGTGATGAAGGGGGCGAGGCCCCAAAAGGGGGGGAGCCCTCCCTCCTACAGGGGTGGGCTTCCCAACGAAGGAAAGCTCTCCAAAGGTGGAGACAATCCCGCTGAGTTGAGGTATGCGTCATTCCTTATTAACCAAGCTTCACACTTTGCTCGCGTAGAGATTGAGCAGGCCAAAGGTGCACAGGGTAAAGGTAAGCACCGTGATGGCACGCCCACATGCCTCAAGGTTGCTGAGGGTGTTTTGATCTCATGCTTGGCTGGAGCTCCAACATGTGCTACATAGTAAGAGGGTGAGGACCATAATTCCGCATCTCGAAGTCAAAGAAGCTCACACATTCAAAATTGCTCCAAGATTTCGATGGCCTGTGAGTACAAAGACACCTCCATCTGACACTGTTTCTTCCTCTCTTCCATGAGAAATTGCTCTACAGCCGCATGCCTTCCTCTGTCCCTACCGGCATTACAGATGCCATGGTGTCTATGCAAGGTTTCTTCCTGCATTGCCTCTATACTACGCTCCCCTACTAGTTCCCAAAGATCACTAGGATACACTCGATCTTTGAGTAAGTATGACAGTATGTATAATTCAGTTTGGAGCTGTAAGAAAAATAAAATAAATCAAGATATACCAAGACATAAAATTATCAACCGACCTTCTGGCTTGCTATCAGACCAACATAGGCATCCATGAATTTGGAGCCTAATAAGGTAGAGAGGTGAAAAATGTCCATGCGGGCGGTTGAGTAATCAAATAGTTTGGGTGAAAGACAAGTCGACATCTTTGTGGGTAGTATCTGGTACTACGGTTTTGCGCAGAAAATGAGCTGACGAGGCTTATTTGTAGCGAGGGGCAAGTGGGGGTGGGAATCCTCCAGAAACTTGGGAGCTCCGCGGCCCTCAAGCTGTCCTGGCCATCAAAACAATGAGTTAGCCATCAAAAGAACGAGCCAGTAGCCATCAAGATACCAAAGGCGTGTGAACTTTCGCACATTCTGAGCAACCTCTATGTAGTAGACTTTTGGACGTCAACTTGAATCAATGAACAGGAACCTATATGATTTATTAACAGACAAGTGGGTGTTATTACATTGAAGCTGCTATATCAAACGATTATGACGGTCCTTTCGCACTCCTCCCAAACAGATGTGGCGGTTAATAGCTGGCCTTACTCCTACTCGCATGCATTTGTTGCAGCATTTGAAGAGAATACCGAATTCCCTCACCGGAATCCCATCGCCTTCCGAAGAGTCAAGCTTATTCAATAATTCTGTTTGCTCTCTGCGGTTCCACTCAAGTTCAATTGGCAAGACTGGATGTTCTTTATCATCCATCAATGAAGCTGTGGTACTGTAGCGAAGCAAACTCATACCTCTTTGAGGGTACTGGAAGGTGGCTAAAGAGGACATCCGGAAGTATATGTCTATTTTCACTATATGATGATGAGTTTGGAATTTTCTTAAGCATGAAGAATACTGACCTCGATATCCACATTTATCTGATGTGCATCTCGCAATCCATTCGGTAGTCTTGTCAGTGGTATTCCGCCAAGAGTACACTGCTGCTTCTATGTACGTTTTTCTTCCACCGCCATCAGCGCATAGGCAGCAAGGATATCTAAATTCGTGTCTGTCACGGTACTTTTCTAGACTGGACGGCGGAATCCTCTTTCCATCACCATCAGCAGGCCTGTGTTGTATGGAGTCACGGCCTAGACTTTGCACAGGATTCAAATCGCATCTCACCAACACCATTCTGTCATGGATTTCGAGGCGCTGTCATAGTGCAAGAGGGCGACGCGGCAGGTCATAGCTTCCGCAATTAATTTGGCTAACCTCCGAGCGGTTTCATGGTAGTCAGGTGGGGAAGTGATGATAGAGGAGGGTGAAGATGGAGGTTCCATTGGGTAGTCTATTGCGACAAGGGCATACTCTGCTGATATACGAGGCCACGAGTTTTAACCCTCCCCACTCTATCTTGCCGTCATGAAGTGCGCCAGCTCCCCACTCTTTTGCCACGAGTTCCAGCCTTTCTTGCCAGTATTTAAATGCGCCGGCCCCACCTTTAGCCACCTAAGGCTCTGGTCTGTGGGAATTTGGTCATGCAATGATGGCAGCTATGCTGGCAGTCCAAGGCTCGGCTGTTTCTGCCGAACCTTGTTATGACATACAGCTGAAGTTTTAGTAAGTCCTTTTTCATCCAACCTCAATTGCACACTCGTCCTTTCAGCTCCTCCTCTTCATGGACTTCGGGGGTTCACCGCTGACTCCCGCTCCTTTCAGGTGCACCTGTACGCGTCACTTTACGCAGGAGAGCGCCTACACCAAACATCAATGTTCGTGTATGCAAGGGAAGAAGCGATTATTTTCTGCTTTGTCCAAAGCAAAAGACCTTTTGGGCTCTGCCAAACAGTCCTGAGTGGATGGCAGCAGCAGACCATATGCCTGCCTTAGCACGGCGTCTTCAAGCGTGCAGCCCCACCGCCCATGTGACCTGTCTCCGTCCGTCAACCAGGTTAATGAAGGATCTGTTGCAGGGCCTTCCAACACTGGCTCAACCCTGTCGGAAATGCACCCCCAAAAGGAGGTTTCCTGTGCAGCTTTCTCGTCGCTCAATACCAATTCGGGTGCTGCGCCTATGGTGATAGATGATGACAAAGACCTATCACTGGCGCAGCAGAGAAGCCGACGTGTTGACGTCCCTATGCCACTGTGTTACAGGCAGTACGAGGACGTTCTTCCACAACCTCCCCCGAGCGTCCTGTTTAGCCATACTGCCCTGCCACCAGATCCCAACCCACCAGAAAATCCTACTCATGCTTCCACTGGTACTTGTACTTCGTTTCGGGGTCCTCCTTTCCGTACGGCTAAGAATGCCTTCGGACTAGTATGCCAGTTTTTCTCATCCACCCCCCCATCTCACGATCCGGAAGAAGCTGTGATGCTGCAAGACATGAGCTCTGTCCCAGCAGAGCCAGACACCCTCTGCGCGCCTCACGACCTTACGTTTCACCCATACCCCAACCGGTCTTCTTTCGAGCTCGGTCACTGGTACTGGAATGGTGGTGTGCAGAAGTCTCATAGGGACTTTAAGGAATTGATTGATATCGTTGGCAATTCGCATGTTGATCCTGACAACGTGCGGAGTATGCCATGGGACAGGATCAACTCGACATTGGGTACGAGTTGTGACGACAACGAGGAAAACGAATGGGAGGATGAGGATGCGGGCTGGCGTAAAACCGAAGTCACCATTCAAGTGCCCTTCTCTTGGACCACGGCCCAGCCGGGCTCTTGCCCGTATATGGCAGCGGACCTTTACCATAGACCTCTCATCTCTGTCATTCGGGAAAAGCTCTTGAATGTTCAAGATGATGAGCTTTTCCATTATGAGCCTTACAAACTACGATGGAACACTTCCCATCTTCCCCGTGAAGTATGTATTCATGGTGAACTGTACGCTTCACCGGCCTATATGCATACACACTGCGAGCTTCAGGAATCTCCTGGAGAGCTGGGATGTAATTTACCCCGTGTGGTCGTCGCACTTATGTTTTGGTCAGATGCTACGCACCTGACAATGTTTGGTAATGTGAGGCTATGGCCGGTGTATATGTACTTCGGTAATGAATCGAAATACTGCCGCTGTAAACCGTCCTGCCATCTGGGTAATTACGTCGCTTACTTTCAAAAGGTACGATCACCTTTACTATGAACTCTCTTCAGCACAAAAGCTTATGTTGCGGTAGCTTCCAGATTCATTTAAAGATTTTGCGAGTACCTACACTGATGGCAAGGGGGCTAGCCGCGAATGTGCAACCCATTGCCATCGTGAATTATTTCAAGCACAATGGAAGGTCTTATTCGATGATAAATTTTTAGAGGCTTACAAGCATGGCATTGTTATTCTTTGCTGTGACGGTGTCGAACACAGGTTTTACCCGCAAATATTCACCTACTCTGCGGACTATCCTGAAAAGTGAGTTGTGAATGTCAGCTATATGAATTTCAAGCTAATAAATTTCAGGGTTCTGGTTGCAACGGTTCGGCAGATGGGAGGGTGCCCTTGCCCAAGATGCCTGATACCGACTGCATGGCTTCACAATTTGGGAATGCACTGCAATATGCACGAACGTTCAACGCTTGCACGATCCGATACCTTGAGGAGTGAGCTGGTTACTGCCGCACACAGCCTCATCCACGACAAGAACCTTGGTGTAGATAGTACAGGAGTTGAGACGCTTCTTAAGCCTAATTCGTGGGTGCCGACCTCGGTGAGCATGATCATCGGTTGCTTTTGCTGCCCTTACTTACCCTTGATTAGAATGTTTTATCTGACGCCCTTGGTGCATTCGGATTCAATCTATTTGCTGCACTTGTCATTGATCTCCTGCACGAATTTGAGCTCGGGGTGTGGTGCATGGTTCTCATTCATTTACTGAGAATCCTTTTCGCATTGAATAAGGATCTGATCAACGAGCTTGATAAAAGGTGCCCAATGCGTATTTGATGAAGGCCCGATATACTTATACACCCCTGACAGGTATAGGCAGGTCCCCCTGTTCGGACCCTCAACCATTAGGCGGTTCTCTGCCAATACATCTGAGTTGTCAAATATGGCCACTCGGAACTTTGAAGATCTTCTGCAGGTATGCCTTTAGAGTGATTCTCCTAGTTCCTTTGGAACTGACATTGTATAAGTGTTCTATTCCAGTATTCGACGGTCTTCTCCCTGACGATCACAACAAAATCGTCATCGATTTGCTCTTTATCATGGCGCACTGGCACGGACTCGCTAAACTTCGGATGCACTCTGACCTGACATTAGATATCCTTGACCGGCAAACCACTGAACTTGGTGAACAACTTCGTCAGTTTAAGGCAAAGGTGTGCTCTGTGTACAGCACCCAGGAGCTTAATCGTGAGCTCGATGCAAGATCTTGCCGGCAGGCAAAAGAAACAGCTAAACGGGCAGAGAAAGACAAGGCAGGTGGCAGTCAGCAAGGAGCTGCGGCTCAAAAGCCTAAGGAAGGTGCCAATGTTAAAGGGAAACAAAAGGCAAGCCCAGAGTAATCACAGGATGCACCTTTACCGGGGAAACCTAGGAGAAAGAAGTCGTTTAACCTTCAGATGTACAAGGTTCATGCGCTGGGGGATTATGTGGCCTGCATTCGTCGCTTTGGTACCACGGATTCATACAGCACAGAGCTGGTAAGTCTTAATATATTGCATGCCCCTCTCCGACTTAACTACTATCAGGGGGAGTTAGAACATTGCATGCCAAAAGGCAAATACCGTCGAACCGACCAGAGGGACTTCATTTGCCAACTAATGCAGATTGAGCGCCGTCAAGCACGCTTACGTCGCATTAAGCTATGCCAGCAAAAATCCGCCCCTCGTGTGGAGGTCAACGAAAATGCGAGTGATCCCCGCTTACAACATCACATGGGCCAAAGCGAAAAGGTTTATGATGAGTTTGGTCATTACCTGCGCAGCTGTGCGAGAGATCCTGCTATGAAGGTAAACAAACTTTTTTTTTTGGCGATTATCACCATTTTGACGGGTATTTCAGGACTTCCTACCACGGATGAAAGATCATATTCTTGATCGCCTTGTTGCAGGAACTTCTGGAATGTCTACGGAGAAATCCATCCACTCTGACGAAGAACACAATTCAATCCTGTTCAAACGAAACCGAATCTATCATCACAATCTTGTCAGGTTCAATTATACTACATACGATGTTCGAAGGGCTCAAGACGTCATAAACCCGAAGACTCCGCATTGTAATATAATACTTCTCTGACGTGATTGCGATGATGGAACTGACGACAATTACTGCTATGCCAAAGTTTTAGGCATACACCACGTTAATGTTGTTCGCACGGGGAACATCTACGAATCTCACCGGATAGAATTTCTGTTTGTTCGATGGTACGAATCCGTACAAAACCATGCTTGGGAGGCATGTATGTTGGGCCGCGTTAGGTTCCTACCCCTCGCAAGCCCAAACACATTTGGCTTCGTGGACCCAAGAGTTGTTCTCAGGGCATGTCACATTATTCCGGCATTCTCTCGAGGCCAGCGCAATCTGAACGACGGGATTTCTCCTCTTGCAGGAGACATGATTGGTATGAGTATTATGTCAACAGGTAGACAGCTTGATTTATTTTAGCGATACTTACTGATATCACGACTGTACTAGCTTTGCTGATCGTGATTTACTCATGCGTTTTCACTATGGGCTTGGTGTAGGACACACATATTCCCATAGGCCTGGAATCTTAAAAAATCTCGGCTCGGCACTATGCCCTGCAGCTCAAACCGAAGATATTGAATACATTGGAACCGAACAAAGCCTCACAGAAACCACCCATTGGCAACATGCAGCCGATGATGAGAATGAAGAGGGCGAAGATCACGTTGGTGTCGAAGAATCTATCCTCTTTGAGCAGCGACGTAATGGAAGCACCGAGACGCTCATAGAGGCACTAGAGGAGATGTATTTCTACCACGTGTTAGATTATGAAAACTAAACTTCTATTACATCAGTTTAGATGGGCACAAACCCAAACTATTTCCTAGTCATCTCGTTGTCAGTCCCAGTGTCATCAAATACTGGCCATCATGGCAATAGATCCTGGCCATCACCGCTACATATCCTGGCCATCATGCGATCTCTAATCCCTGGCCATCAATATCTCTCAGCCATCACTGGCCCCCGGGCACCTCTAACTTTTAGCCTCGTCAAGTGCTGGTTCATCGCTAAGTAGTACTGAGCCCAAGTGACCCTTGTTAATTTACAAACCAGCACTTGACTAATGAGTGGCTGCCCCTGTTTGTCCGTGATATTTATTGCGCTGCAATTTTTCTTCTAGTCAATCCCAGACGGTGAGGTGAGTCCCTATTATCTAGGTAGGACCATCTTAACTCTATCACAGACATTCAAATGCATCAAACATACCTATATGTACATGAATCCGACCAAGTCTACATGATGGTACAACTTGCTGTAAGTAGGCTACTTGGAGTCGACTCTTGCTGATACCTTTCCTCTAGCACAAGGAGGTATGCATTTACCATCAGACATCAACTGAATCTAATCATATTTTAGCACCCCTTCTCAGCATTCAAAAACCGTCAATTTCATTTTATTGGATACATGGCTGCCCATGGCGAAGTGTCACCGCTATACGTAAGACTCCCCCTTCAAAATCTTTCCTCTCATTGTTGGTTTGCAGTGTGATGGGCTATCTGAGGTCAAAAGGCCTTGGCTTCAAAAACTGAACATCCTTGGAGTGCTGTGTATCCCCAACGACGTTGGCGTCATCCATGATTACCCCTTGTTTGCAGAGCTGGTCAGGAGTTTGTCTTTTTTGTGCTGGAAATTTCGTTTTGAAATAGTAGACTTAGGTTGGCGACTCTGACTTTTTGGTTAAGACATCTTTCTGTAGGTCTAATATCTTGGTTAAACCAGGCCCCATGTGGTTCGTAAGTATTGTTCTTATTTAAGTCTAGCTTGCCATGGACTTATCTTGCTTCGGCAGTTATCCCAGCTATCTGAAGCGTCCATCCCTTTCACCCTGGCGCAATTTCCACATGGATTTCCCCCTCCCATCCTCGAGGACAACACATTTTCATACGGGCAGCAACTATCCGTCATCACCGATGAACCATCCTCGATGATTGAGTTGCCGCTCTCCGCTGGCCCCACCGTCACCACACTCACTCGGTATCCCAGCCCCCGCTGTAGAAACAACAATACTGCGAGGAGCAAACAATGCTCCAGGCTGTATCTGTAAATGTTGTGAGGTCGCGCGTTGCCTAGTCTGCTATACCTGAGACGACAAGTGCGTTCGACCCTAAAGGGGAAGCGAGTGCAGCAAGGATCTGGTAGTGTGCGCTGAAGCGAAGCGCGAGAAAGCGCAGGTGCGCGCAAGGCGCGGGAACGCGCGCATGTGCTGCGCGAAGCGCGGGAAAGTGCGCGCGTGTATGCGGAGATGATAAAGAGTAAGTGTGAGTTTGCTTGGTGCCAAGGAGTAGATTTCTACTATATTCTGATAGGTGGTAGGTGGTAAATAAAGTGAGAGGTAAAGTCTAGTAAAGTGGAAACTACAGTGGGAAGTAAAAAGTCCAGTCCAAAGGTCCCCCCTCTAATAATATGTACTGCTGGCGCTTATATGGCGCCTAAGCGCTGTCATGCGGAGCCGAAGCGCTACCGAGTAGGTATGTAAAGATATATGTAAGTAAGGGTCCATGGTAAAAATAGAGGTGGAACGTACTGCTTCTCGAGCCTTCTCCGTCAAATTCTGCAGTTGTATCTAACATCAAAACGACTGCCCCGCAGTTGACGGAGATGGTCGATATGCTTCCTGATTCTGCTCTTTCTTCCGCACAAGGACTAAATTTCTCTGGACTCGGCACGACGTGCCCTCAAGGTATGTAAACCATTGATAACCTTGGAGAAGTGTCTTTCATCGGTGTAATACAGATGCTTACTGTTGAGTTTCCAGATGAGCAACAACCCTCGAACATGGCTGCCTTAACTCGATCTACCTCCCTGACGGACATCACTCAAGAGAGTGATATCCTGTTAAGACCGTGCACAAAGGGTAGGACTGATTCCAAGGGGCTTGGCTTCAGCTCGTGCACTGTGCCCCTTATCCAAGTATGTGCCCTTAACTTCAGAATGACATCCGGAGAAAGTCCAAGGAAGTCCGAAGAACTTCCGGACGAGCGCGGGAAAGTTCGGAAGGACTTTCCGGACGAGTGCAAGCAACTTCCGAATGAGTGCGGGAAAGTTCCGGAGGAACTTCCGGAAATTACCATGGGGTTTCATCCTGATACGGAGATGTGTAATGGCTACTCAGGACTTGTCCTGAGTAGAAGCAAATAGAGGAAAGGCTGCAAGGACAAAGTCCGAAGCAGAATAGGTCCGGAGGACCGCGGGAAAGTTCCGGAGGAACTTCCGGAAACTTGGAGGATCGGAGGATCGGAGGAGCAGAGGAGCAGAGGAGCAGAGGAGCAGAGGAGCAGAGGAGCAGAGGAGCAGAGGAGCGGAGCTCCGGCCTAGGGAATTCCTCCCTAGGCCTGAGATGGATAATGACTAAGTCGGAGGACTAGAACTGTTATGAGGACTTAGGGTGAAGGCTAGTGCGAGGACTAATATGTGTATGATATTCAGACTGAGGAAGTACAAAGATTCTACAGAGTTTATATACTACAGAGGACTTAACAGAGAGTCAGTCAGTGCAGTCCGAAGCTATGCGAGGCTGTGGACGGAGGATGTAGAAAAGTCAAACACTAGTCTATCGGAAAATAGTAAATGAAGACGGAGATGAAGACATAGGAAAATAAAGCCGGAAATGAAATGAGGTACGGAAAATGAGGAAGTCTAACTCAAGAAGGAACATACAAAGGGATAAGGCACGGAAGATAGACGCGGGTCGGATCCGGATGTTCGGAAGTCCGGAGACAGGTGATTACCATAAGGGGATGGGCGCTGATTTAAGGTTTGGGTTAGGACATGACAGATAGGTCGGATCCGGAGATCCGGAGATGTGGATATCAGATCTGGCGTCCGGATATCAGATGCAGGAGTACAGAGATCCGGACGGATAGAGGATTGGGTCTGGAGACATGGACAGGAGGTCCGGAGGTCCGGATGAGGCGTGGGAACATTGTCGGATGTTGGTCCGGAATGCGGGATATGATATATCCAATGCATAGCACCAGTTGAGGTCATGGCGCTTGTGACACCTATTCATTCTCCACTTTCTGAATTTGCCGTCACGACCCCAGTTTTAGCTCGGACCATGCAGACCATCGAGAGCAAGGACATTGAGACGCCCCAAAAATGCGCTGGCACAAAATCACGTATTTACATCACAGGACCTTCTGTCGGACCTACCGCTGAAACTGGCGTACTGTCATATCCCGCGTTCCGGATCCGGACCTATCACACTCATCATTTCCGGATTTCCGGATCTGGCCAACTTCTATGTATCGTCCGGATCCGACCCGCGTCTAACCTCCATGCCTTATCCCTTTGGTATTTCCCTTATCAGTTAGTACACTTTATTTTCCGTCCCTTATTCATTTCCGTCTTCATTTTACTAAGTTCCGATAGACTAGTAATAGTTGTCCCATATGTTTTATCCATAGCTTGACATAGCCTCGCACTGCACTTACTGTTCTCTGTTATGTCCTCAGTAGTATATAAACCCTGTACAGTCTCTGTAGTTTCCTCAGTTCGAATATTATCTTAGACTCTGCTCATTCTCTCCTCCGTCCGACTTGAGTATCTCTCTCGTCGACCTCCGCTCATCTTAGGATTGATTCCTATAGACTTGTCACCTCCACCTCTACCTTTGGTAGTCCTCCGCTGTTTCCTTTCTAGTTCGGACTTCATCCGGATCAGTCTTATCTCTTGTTCCCGAACGTCCGCCGGAATTCCCACGCATCGGACATCGGACTCCGGACATCGCCCGACGCCCTCCGGACATTGTCCGGTAACCTTCGGACATCGTTCGACAGCCTTCGGAAGTTAGGGGCACGTACTCGGGTAAGGGGCGCAGCGCACAAGCTGAAGCCAAGCCCTTCAGATCCGACCCTTGAGCACGTTCTTAACACGTACCGTTGATGGCCTCTACTATCCCCGATGAACCTTCCTCTCAGAAGGCACGTCTGGGCTCACAGCAATACGACTATGTGTTTCCACATTCTCCCCTTGGCCAATCGCTATCGTCTGCTACTCACGCTTCCTCCTATAAATCATGCCTGGACCCACATCGATACGATCCTCTAATTCTACAACTTCAATGTGACCAATCACCATCGTCTACCCCCCATGAACCACCACAATGCCCACCTGGTCTAAAGCTTCCCGCAGACAGGAAGCCAGGAGTCCAAGCTGGGCACTTATGTGCATCATCTGTACAACTTACGCAGCAGGGATCTCCCTCTGAATTACTACAGGATGTTACCAAGCGGAACCTCGATAATGATGCATCACTACGACTTATGCGAGGCAATACCGAGCTAAACCTCGGCGATATGTTCCCGACTCTTGAACCCAGTGCCTCGAATTTTCAGTCGTCGCCGACACCTAAGGTAAAATAGGCTAGTGTGATTGTTGAGAGGATTTCGAACGATGGGAATATTGCCTATTTCATTCAGGCAGGTGGTCATAAGTACATCGCCACGGCACAGGTCAGCAGTGGAGGATTCAGTTATGTCTGGTACACTATCAAAGACCAAACAGAGGAGGTCGCCATCAAAGTGATCGACAAGGCTGGGTTGCTTGCATAATTTGTTCACTGCGCCCAAGACAAACGGCCGACTATGCAACAACTAGATGAAGAGACATTTGGAATTCGTCAACACTGGAACAGGAGTAAGTAAGTTCAATCTAGCTATGCATGGTTTATTCTAAGTCACGAGCCTACAGAGACCAAATGCGCACTTTCAGATAGCAAGCTCCCTCTCGACTCTTTCAAATCCGCTCTCGATTCTTCAAGGCCCGCTCTCGATTCTTCAATACTCTTTCTCAATCCTTCAACACTCACAATCTATCCTTCAACAGTCCCTTGCGGTTCTTCAACAGTCCCTTGCGAACTTCCAACAGTCCCTCTCGATCCTTTAATACTGCTTCTCGATCCTTCAACAATGCCTCGCGATTCAGGCTCGTGCGATCTGGCTTGCTGAGTGGATCGGCACTATGGAGGTAAGAATCTGTAGCACTAGTAGATTACCTACTTACTTTTGGTGCCCTTCACTTCGTGCCATGGTCAGTGAAAATCCACCCACTACCACCTGCACCGCAAGCTTAATGTACCAGTAATTTCTCTGTGAACCGAGTGAGTGAACGATTAATGAGAACTCTTTTCACTCACCGGATACCGAGGGCCCATTCCTGCAGATAGTGATTGATGAGATGTGCGTGTGCGGGCGCGGGTCCATCGCCCTGAAAAGGGCGGTGTGACATGGTGTGACAAATCAGCAAATTGAACCGTCCACCTGGACACACCTCAAGCATTTGAAGGCACTTTGCCTGGCTACGACACTCCAACCAGTCCATCTGATATTGTTCCTCTTAACTTCGGGTACAAAAAGACACACGAACTTCTTCGACGCATGGCTTCCTACCAAGGTGAAGTCACCGCCGGACATCCTGATTTCCCAGAGGGAAGCACTGCAGCCTGTAGAGAAGCCTCCGGGCCAGTGGACTTGAATGTGCCTGACATTGTTTACACTACCGAAGATGACGAGGTGATTGATTGATTCTACTGCGATATTGGTAAGTGCTGACATGTGATCTGCATTGTCACAGTAAAATACTGAATTGAACACCAGTGCAAACGACGTGGCATTCTGTGTATGTGACTGAACTTTCCATGATAGCTTGGGACTTGTGCCATGAAATCGGAGGCAGATCAGGGAGTTGTCGTATGTCCATTTCGCCACTGAACGTTGAACATTGGCACAGTGAGTACTGGACAGAGGATTGTTGATGTGTGATCTAACAACACACACAGAACACGTACTCGACCGCACTTCTCATTGGAGAGCGGGCTGTGCGCTGTCTTGTTACTTAAGGGTCTTATATAAAAGTTGTGTATAATGACAACACAATTATACACGGTGAAGACTTCTTGCCAGTCCTTAAGTCCACGGTCTCCGACTTTTCTACTTCGTGGGAGGTAACGTGGTGAGTTCTTGGGAGGATTTAGTTTGTTGTCCTCTTCTTGTGTAGTCTGATATGAAGTGTTGTGGATTGTTCTGTGTTCTGGATAATTCGTTAGGTTTGTTTCAGCCTAGTAGGTCGTGTTTCAACTTTGTCGTCCTTAGATATGTGTCTCACTTTCCGTTGAAAGAGAGAGTCTTATGTATACACGTAAAGCTTAGAATGAGAGCTGTTCAATGGTTATATAGTCAACCCCTGTAAGGTAGTATATAACCTAGAGTAAAATAATGATAACGAAAGTTATATAGTCAACCCCTGTAAGGTAGTATATAACTTCAGAGTAGAATAATGATGTATCTTAGTCTTACTTCAAGGCACGTTGCCTGCACTTTTATTCTTATGTACTCTCACACGGTTTGAGAGAAGAATGAAAAATGGGAAGTTATATTTTATGGGTGAAAATGGGGTCCTTTTATACCTTTTGGGAACCCCCTTACTAAGCATGATTTATCAGATGGATTGGTAAGAATGTGGCTTACAAACCAGATGATGAATCAGCTTATTACTAAGTACATTACAAATACAGTGTAATCTTACAAAGAATTTACAAAGCATGACAAATCATGACAAAACATGATGAGTCATGTGAATGTTGTTACAAAGCATGACCAATCATGACTAAACATGTTGAGTCAGCTTAAATAATGTTACAAACCAGAATATTCTCCAGTCACATGATGTGCTGACAAATAAAATCTGGTGGCTGAAAGAAGCCAAATAAAAATAAACAGTCAGAAATAAATAGATACAAAACTTTGACAAACAAATCTGTGGCTGAAAGTAGCCAAATAAAAATAAATAATGAGAAATAAACAGAAGGTCACATGCTCATAAAAATACAAGGTAAAATAAATCTGAAAAGTGAGAAATAAAATACAAGACAATGAAATAAAGGAAAAATAGAAAGGTAACTCAGTGACAGAGGGCTAGACAGTCTCTCATATCTTCCTTATCACTCTCTATATATATCTGACATGGTATGAATCACATACCATGCATGACAGCGCAGTGATTGAAATGGTCAAAGTGCTATTATATTTCATGTAAGTCACATGCACAATCTACGATAACACTCTCCAATGAGTTTCTAATAGCATTCATTGCTTTCATGCCTAGCTCGTTTCAATGTCTTCTGTCTGGTGAATAGTGAGACGTCAGTAGGAGCGCGCGTGCTAAAACACAAGGTACGATCTCACTTTCTCGTAAAGAACTATTATTAACAAACTCTTTACCTAGCACACAAGGTACGCTACAGTCTCGTCAGTACGATATTTCAGACGCGAGAACGAACGCTAACTCATATCTCAGTTTCTCGTAAAGAACTGAGATGTAACTGCACTGGAGCTGGTCCTTTTAAGGTGAGTGGTACAGTAACGGAAAATATTCGTATCACTGCGTAACATATTGCAGGGCACGAGCCGACGTCAACACGTCGCTCGTCTGCACCCATTTTGGCTTGAGCTCAGACTTATCACTCTCCCGCCTCGTCTATCTCGGATCCTGTGGATACTAGCTGTTACTCCACCCCCAGAGCGACATGAACCCCCACACATGTCCCATCTTAGCGTTCTCGCCACTAGTCTTGCCATTGTCATCGCCGACACCACCAACACCACCCAGTGCACCAATTTCGACCCCCATTCGATTCCAGCACCCACTGATGTCATGCGCACACGCTCAGCACACGCCAGCAAAGGCTGGCATGGCTTGAACAGATGCGGACACTGGACAGCACCGGGGAAAGGGAGGGAGGAGGAAGATGAGACAAGTTAGGCCCACATCGTGGACTCGTGGTGGGGCTTTTGCGCGTTTTCTGTCTGTAGTCAATGTTAACTAACTATGGCAATGTTCATATTGTTGGTTCCTGGTGCCGCGGACAGTGGAGAGGTACCAAGCACCAATGATGGAGAAGCACCAATGACGGAATCGGCAGGAAGACATCATAGATTCTGTAATGCATTTCGGCAATTGTACTAGATCTAGGAATGTTTAGAATTCTTACTGAATTTAAAAGGTCTGGCTAGTGTGTAGGCCAGGACAAAGTATTGCACTCAATAGCAACTCTAAACAACTTTGAGACATATAGGGATCCGCACGGGTATACCCTGGGGTGTTGGGGACCTGACCCGCACCCGCACCCGGCAAAAACCCGTACCCACTCTGACGGGTATGGGTTTTCGGCGGGTACAACAAGCTCAGACCCGTACCCGCACCCATGCAGGGTTTACCCGCGGGTACCATAGGTATCACTGCCAGTGCTTAGCACATATGTCCAGCACACGTCAGCGAATGCTGACGTGACTCGAACATATGTGGATGGCACAAGAAGGAGGAGTGGAGGCACGGCGCGAATGACGGACGCGTCGAAATAGATGCTGATGTCGTGGCAGGTGGTGTGTCGCATACGATCGAAGTCGAAGGTGAGCGTGTCGAAATGGGAGATGGTGGTGTGGTGGCGCGAGAGTGTGACGTGTCGGGCGTCGCATCCTCATTGCAGAAAATGGGGGCAGAGTCAGGACAGCGACTTACTGACAAGATCATTCCTTCCTCCTCTCGTTCCTCCTCTTTTCCTTCTCTCTTCGTCCTGGTGTCTTCCGTGTGCATTCGAGCCACGCCAGCATTCACTGGCGTGGTCTGAGCGTGTACGCTCGATGCTGGCGAGTCAGCGTGTCACGTAGGTGCTGGATGGTGCTTGCTGGTGGCATCCGTCAGCGTGCTGCACAGCGACATAGTGGGTGTTGTCGAACGTGGCGTGGGGGATACGGCAAGTACCGCTGAATGCGAAGGTGTTGGTAGCGATGTGGTGGCGGGTGCGAGTTCTGCATCTGGCCGGCAGCTTGCAGGGTGGGCCAGTCGTGTCGTCTGGGATGCGGTAAGTCCTGATACCAAACGAGCGCGGGACCTTTGAGTTTCGACGCAAAAAACAAGAGCTGATGTGTTGCCGGCAGGAAGTCTGAGTGCTTGGTGGTGGTGCCGGTTGTAGCGTGCACGCAGGAAGTATGGCGTTTATGGAAGGCACGGGTATAGCTGGGGTACGGGTAAGAGCGCGGGTCTTAGAATCCCAACCCGTACCCATACCCCAGTAGTACCCGTACCTGTGACCCGCGCGGGTTACCCGTACCCGTGCAGATCCCTAGAGACATAATGTAACTGCGAGCAATGACCACACTATGCGTCAAGATATTGCAGGACATTGTAACCCTTGATTGCTAACCGGTAGAGAATAGCACGGGTAACCCATGGGTATTCCAGCCTGTACCCGTACCCATACCTGTGCCACACCATACCTGTGTGGCCAGGTACGGGTACGGGTACGGGTCCATGGGTACGGGTCTGCAGGATGAGTGGTGGTAGTAGGGCGCGAGTGGTGGTAGTAGCACACTGTAAAGTTAAAGATAGTAGTAAACGAGAAGAAAAAAAACATGCGCACCTGGAACAAGCAGCGAACGACTGAGGAAGAATGAGAGGGCGCGAGTGGACTGTGGTGGTATGCACAAGAGTAATCATAAGTTACTAAAAATGATCAGTTAGCATGATGAAGTAGCATAAAAACACGCACCTTTGCAGCCCTAATACCACCAACTCCCCATCTACATCAGGAAATTCTCACATTTACTTGATGTGCTTAAATGACTTAATAAGCACAAATAAGTAGGAGCGCTGGATAAGCAAACACTGACTTATTCAGACCAGTCGATCTCTTATTTTCGTCTTAATTTCACTTATCGCTCTGGTAGTAAGATGAAAAAGTGATCATTCAGTACAATAAGTGAAGTAATGAAACACGACAAAAAGTCAATTAAAATAGGATTTAGAAAATGAGCGAATACTGTTAGACAAAGCAGTCAAAATTGCAAGTGAACAAAACTTCAACTGTAATACTACGATGAAGAGCAATATGAAGGTGGCGGCAGTAAAAACTTGAATGGTACAAAACGCTGTGATGCTGACAGATCCAAGTTTTCGCTGTTGCCTCGCTGGTGAAGTGGGAGGTAAGCTGCAGACCTGCGACTGGTGGGAAAGGACTGTGATCAGCATGGCTTAAACTCGAAGGAGAATCGGCACACTTACAGTCTGCAAACGGTGGGCAACGACTTCCGAGAGGTGGGTATTACTATCAGCATGGCTTGAGCTTGAAGGAGGATCAGCACACTCACAGTCTGCGAATGGCAGGCAACAACTTCTGAGATGTGAGAGGCGGGTAACGCCGCGAGTAGTAAGCATTCTTCTGGTGAATAACAAAAAGGTTGCATCGACACGCTTATTCCTAAACGTGCGAAATTCAACTTCCGTTCAAAGCTCCGCCATCCACACCAGCCACATTAATTGGTCTTATATGGGTGAGCGGCTTCCACACTTTTGTCCCTCCTAGAGTTAACACTCTAGGGACAGCCCAACCTAACCAATCGCACCACACAAGACTCTGGTTCAGCGGTTCGCACCTCAGATGTTGGCCTTCGCATGCACGGCTGAGGTGAGGTACTCACAGTTTCACATATTCACCTTTACTTACTTCGAGTAGTACACGTTTACCTTCGCGCGCACGCGGCACAACTGAGAGTGTCTGTTTGTTCCAGACCCGTGCGCGAAGTATATTCATCTTTTATTGTTACCAATCGCATACTAACATATTTGTCAAAAAAAAATGTATTACCGCACTTAATTCACTTTCGCGTCTTATACTACAATATTGATTTGAACCAAGTTTGTAAAAAGTGAAATCAGTAGAATCAGTAACATCAGAGGTTTCCTTTTTTTACTTAGCGACTTTTTTCAGAGCAATAATATGAATCAGACCGAAAAGGAAATGTGAGATATTGCTGATGTAGAGTCGACTCTAGATGCGCCGTGTGCGCGCACTGTGAATGTACCCAAGCATAGAATGGCTACACTGCGACTGTGACGGGTACATCACGGGTACAGGTATTTGCACGGGTCACAAAATCCTGACCCGTACCCATACCCGGCAGTACCCGTACCTGCGACCCGCCAAGGGTTACCCATACCCGTGCAGTTCCCTACTAACCGGGTGACATTGCAAACGGGCATCGCAAAGACAAGCTCAGACAGTGGGTGACCATTATTTCGGAAAGATGGCGACTTCCTTCAATGATTTATCTGTCAAATATCATAGTTTGTGAGACATACATATGTTCAACAGAATTAGATTTGTTTTACAATTTCTTATCCCTCACTGTTATTATGCCGAGGCTAAGTTATGACTTTATCTTTGGATATAATTTGTGTATATTTGATTTTATTTTGTCAAAACTATCTATTCAAAACATCTCCAAGCCGATTTCGTGATGTAATTACTACTAATCTGCAAAACTCCCAGTTCTGACTTACTAGTCTAAGAAGGTTGATGCCTTATAAATCCCTGCAGCTCAGCGATTCAGAGCTTGCCGATTGGTAGAGCCCGTGGTAGTAATGAGAGGCGATGAGGCGAAACATACAGAGATTCTGATGCTGGTGACAGATTGATAGATTGTGTCAGACAAGATTAGGGTTTCTGATCGTACTGTGACAAATATATACAAACACATGTCGCGCGGTTTCTCTGAAAATCTGTGCAAAGTTCTGTTTTTAGAATGGTGACCCGCCGAGTTGACCTCCATTACAATGTTTTGTAAACCTGGTGGACGACGGTACTGCCGCGACTGGCAATCCAATGGGTCATCGAGAACGACATGAATATCCTCCTTAATCTTCAGGTGCGGTCTAATGTCTTGGCACTCGCGCATCCAAGTACTACTAACTTATCGCCAGGGTGATCACATCAGGTTCTATAGGGAGACCGCATACGTCGTTCGCACAGGTCCGATTACTCCGCGCAGGTGTTCAATATGAGTATAAATCAGTGTAATAATGCACTCTGATCTCACTGTATGTACTAGTCGCTCATCACAGCAAGTCACCACCTCTCTGTTCTGGAGTACTTAACGTGTTGCAAAGTAGCGGGGTGTCTGAATTGTCACTGTCAGCAAGTTGGACCATTTCAATCGCGATCATCATTGCCGCATGCACCCATTATCTTAGCCAGTGTCCGAATAGTGAAACAACGCTATCGGGCTGCAACGCGGTTGCCATTACCCCCCGGACCGCCTGGACGTTGGCTATCGTCCGACGTCGCTCATCTCCAGGTACGTCCGTTCTCTCAGACTCCAATACGAACATACATAAACCAGATGTTCGCGGAGGATCGTGAAAGAAAATTGTTAGAGGGTTGAAGGACAGGCATGTTCGGGAAGATCAAGTCGTCCAAATTGAATTCAGCTTTGAAGTGCTGAGTAAGATCTGAGCGAGAGATGTCACATAACTTAAGATGCTTCAGAGGTGCCTCGAAGTGAAGGTAAAACATTATGGCTGATGGGACTGTCAGCCGCGTTAAAGACTACCGTGACCGGAACCATGAGACTGGGAAGCACACAATGAAACCCGTGTCAACTTTGAGAGCAAATTCAAGTTGTCTACTGCCTGTTTTTCGTTTTGGCCAGCTAGAAAAAGAAAGCGCATGCAGAGTGGCGGAATGATTGAATGGTAAAGGGATAGGACTTCAGCACCACACTTCATTTTGTCCAGGGGCTGTCTGTAAACGGTTCACGATCAGGCATACAACATGGAGAGTATTGCGGTGTATCGACAGATACTTGATGCGTGGCAACACCAGGCAAAACCAGTTCATGATTACAATCGTGCCTATTTGAGGATATATGAAGTTAGGTGTAACAAGAAGTCTGAGTCGGAAAAACAACGGAAAAAGACTCCAAAACGCAGGACGAACTCCTTTGTACAAAGATTCAAGTTTCTAGAATGAACGTCTTTTATTTGCCCGGTGCGCATAGTTCCCTGACAACATTCTCATCGATCCTCTTCGTAAGGCATATCTCAAACGGAGCAGCATGTATGTTCGCAGCGTCCGAGAATGCAAGCGTGTCAATTTTCGCTGCAGGATTCTCCGAAAGGCGGAAAGCCCATAGAATAAGAGCCGTGGTGATGAAAACCGACCGATTCGCAACATGTTGACCAGGACACACTCTGATATTTTCAAGTAAGACATAAGAAATGTCAAGAGATCAACGATACCACTCACCGACGGCCAAAGCCAAAAGTGAAAAATTTGAGATCACCGCGCACACGACCTGCATCGTCAATCCAACGCTGAGGATTGAACCTGTATGGTTCCGGGAAGACTTCAGGATCATTTGCGATAGCCCTGAAGCACGAGCATCAGACCCAAAGGTCAGAGGACGAAAATGATTGCCTACTGACCAATGGTTGCCAATCACAGTCGCACCTGCAGGAATGAGGTAGTTGTTCCAAATGATGTCCTTCGTCGCGCGATGCGCAAAGCCTGCAGTGCAAGGGGGTCGATCATCATCGCGTCGTCACAACTCAAAAAAGACATACCTCCAATAGTGACAGGTCTCCACCTGAGACTCTCGAGCATGAACGCGGTAACCTGCGGCAGCATTTCGTGATCAGCAAACGTCGGCACTAATCAGGAGTTATTTGAGTCAGTTGATGCACAAAGAAAAGGGATAACCTACGCCGCGCACGCCCCACGACGTCATCGAGTTCCTCTTGTACGCGAGCCTGCGCATCTGGATGAGTGGCAGCAGCCATTATCATAAATGTGATTGTGGACGCAGTCTACAACAGTTGTCAACTTATGATGCGATGCAATGTGAGAACCTACCGTATCAGAAGCGGCTCCAAATATCCCTCCTGCAAGGTATGTCAGTTCCTGATCTTCGAGCTGGTACTGTTTCTGGTGCTCTAACATGAACCTCGCAAAGGATGGTCTTGCAGTCCCCTCGCACTTCACAGTGGTGAGCGAGCATATTTATCATGACAAAAAAATCACGAACCATCTGTCTTCGCACTGCGTCCAAGTGCCTGTTACAGAGAGCAAGGTCTTCTTTGTGCCATGCCTTCAGCTGACTCAGGTAGCCTGGGACGAAACGCAGGATTGGATACGTATCCACGAGGTATGCTCCCGGCTGGATAGCTTGACCAAAACGGGCAAGAGCCTTATTGATAGCAACAACTTCAGGATCTGTATATGAAGTCGGAGTAGTTTTTCCATAGGTGAAGGACATGACCACCGAAGCTGAATAACTAAAATGCTCGAATTATCACCTGTACCGCGTAAGAAAGAGCGAGTGTTCGTACCGCATGGCATGACCTTGGTGGTTCTTTGGATCATTTAAGATATCCAGAACCAGATTCTTCGCATGCCTGGTCTGGATGGGCTCGTAGGTCTCCGCAACCTTGGGTTGCAGGCCTGCATGCAAGACCCTGCATTACATTCAGTCTCGCTGATCGCACCTGGTAGAGACAAGATAAGTACCTGCGCACCCGGCGCAATCTCTCACCAGAGCCCTCAAGCAACACTCCCAACCCGCCAGACAACGTCTCATGTACTGCAATAGAACGTGGGCGGTCGGCAAGATTTGCTCCCTCTTTTTCCATGATATCTGCCGCAGCCTATGACGAGACTCACTTCGTGCTTGGCTAAACGATGAATTGCTTTATGCTTACCTGATGACGTCCTATAATCACGAAAATCGTATGGCCTTGTTTGAGGGAGAACACAGGTCCATATTGTTCTGTCCATCTCGCGAATTGAAACGGTACACTGCGCAAAGGGTTAGATAGAGATAATGCTGATGTCCCTTGAAAAAGACTTACTATGACTTTGGCATCGCATTTCCTAATAGCCAACGTCCAGGCGGTCCAGGGGGTAATGGCAACCGCCTTGCGGTCTGATATCGTTGTTTCACTATCCAGACGCTGGCTAAGATAATGATAAGGGTGCATGTGGCAATTATAATCGCCATTGAAATGGTCTGGCTTGTTGCTAGTCGCGATTCAGACACCCCGCTACTTTGCAACACGTTAAGTACTCCAGAACAGAGAGGTGGTGACTTACTGTGTTGAGCGACGGGTACAGTGAGATTAGAGTGCATGATTACACCGACTTATCAATACTTATACAAACACGGCTTGAACACCTGCGCTGATAAACCGGACCTGTGCGAGTCACGTATTGCGGTCTCCCTGGACCACCCAGGTGATAAGCTAGTAGTGGACATGTGTGTTCCAAGGCATTTCGACTCCACCTGAAGATTATGTAAGGTAGATCTTCATGTCGTTCTCGACTAGTCCACACCCGTTCTGCCTTCGGCACAGGAAGCAAAAAAGAGTGCTTCGCACTCTTT